TGATGAATCTTGGATACCAATGCAAGAACTTGCAATTACACCTACAATATCAAATACTAAATTTCTCATGTTATTCAATGATATATTTAGAGTGAAAGTGTTGAATCTTGGATATCATAATTCACACATTTAGATAAAATATATGGTGACTGATGTATTTTCTGTGGCAATGTTAAAAGGCCTGGGATAATATTTGTTTGAAAGTAATTGTTACTTGTAAATAAATGCTTGCTATTATGTGTGTTTGTTTTTTTTTTTTTTTTTTTTTTATGCCATTAGGTGGGCATGTGACTGAGGGGTTAGGACATTCATTTTCTGATCATGAGACACGGATTCGAATTTAATCAGGGTTGATTTGTCAGGAAGGTGACTTCTTGATGGTCTCTGGAGGTCATCTTGGCATAATGGCACCTTTTAAAAAAAAGTACCTGAAAGCCATACCATGGATTGACCAAAGTCTTGTGAATGTAATTGTATAGATAGAACTCTTTGGTAGTCGTTGATGGCTGTGCTAACGCAGTCACAAGTCATGCTGACCTTGTTAAAACTGTTGATCACGCTAAATGCACTATGTAAGGTTCACTCAGCATAGTTGTATGATTATCTACAGGTGGGCTCTCTGAGTGTTGAACAAACACATACCTGCTTGAGCAGGCGTCTGCAATAGGGATTACCTAACCGCCCTAGTAGACGAGCATCCTTGGATATGTGTGGCCAGTCAATTTTTTTTTTATATAGATGGAACAGAAAATATTGATAATTATTTGATTTGATGAGTTTTCATATCTAACATTATCAATAAAATACTCTCTTTATGAAGAAAATATGAAGTTATCTCCCTTTTATCTAATGGGACCAGGAATACATAAATACACATTGATAATTATTACATGATGCGTTCATCTTGTCTGGTTTTCAGTGCTCTTTTTTGACTGAGAAAAATCTGGTGTTCTATAACTCTTTTAATCCCAGACCTACGCTGATTATTGGCTAATACCTGCCCAGTATCGTTTGTATGCAAATTTTGTCAGCACCACCTCCTCTAAGTAGAATGTCCTCAACAGTCAATTATGAAAGAGGATGTAAAGGCTGGTGCTTACTCCACCACACTCAACCTGCTTTGGTTCTTTTGTTGGGCCGATTTGATTCTCCATTACATATAGCTTGATTGGTACTTTGATATTAAATCTAATAATTACAAAAAATTTGCATTCTTTTAATTGTAGCAATTGTTTTACCTTATAGCATTTTTGTTTTAAATTCTACATCCATTAAGCCAGTATTGGTTGTCACTGTGATGGGACGCTAAGAAATTTTTGGACCAATTCATATGTCAAAATAATTTATCTGATGTTCTGTCACTGAAATGGTGATTTTTTTTTTTTTTTTATTTTATTATTTATTTATTTATTTTTTTTTTTGAAAAGTGGGTTGAGCTGAGTAGTTTTCAGCACTCCCTCGTATATGCTGAAATTTGTACATCTGTTAATTCCTCTTCATGGACATATAGGTATGGCACTATTCATATTTGGTAGACTTCCCAGAATATCTTGGCTTTATCAGTCAGTTTGCTATTGCTATAAAGTTGCCTCTCTGTCTCTTCTATAAATACTCTCATGGTAAATGTTTGGAGCTTTTTGCTATGGTACCTAGACTTTTTGTATTTAAGTGTAGTACTAGACTGGTGTTGATCTTGTCAATTTAAAATCTACCTGGCTAGATGTAATCATAAATTCTCTGCTCAGTTTTTCTTGTACTTCTCACTTGTGGAACTCGCTTCCAGCTCCATATTTTCCAACCAACTTTAATCTGCAAAAATTTAAATGCAATGTCAATCACTATCTACTGTCTTCCTGTTTACTCTTTTCTCTTGCTGATCATAATTCTTCCACAGTCAGTAACTGCTTATCTCAGTGACTTTACTGCCTTGCAGGGGGTGAAATTGATTTAAAAGAAAAAATAAAACGTATAAAAGAAATTTGTCACAATTTGGATTTAATAAGGTATATATTATGTGTTTACTAGGTGCTGTTTAAATTTATTTTATTTATTTATTTATTTTTTTTTTTTTTTTTAAAAAAAAGGAAAAATTTATTTTTTTTAAAGTTAATGGTTATATATATATATATATATATATATATATATATATATATGTGTGTGTATTTCAATAAGATTTTAAGACTCTTCTGAAAAGACATTCTCATGGTCAATTTATCATTCATCTGCCATTTTAATTGGTAAAACTAAGACTTTTTAAATTTTATTAATTGAATAAATGCCTACAACATTTTTCCAAAAAATATTGTAGAAATAAGGATTAATTAATAGAATTTTGCATGAATGTTACTTTATGCTTAAAATAGCAAAAAAAAAAACAAAACATTTGAACACAGCAGGCTGTATCCCATCTGTCATAGGACAAGCAGAAGTCGTCACCCCTACCTCACACGGGGACAAAGAAACTGTCCTGTCTCATATTGAAATATGGAAGATCAAAAGTACTAAAATACAGAAACTCTTCCCCTCTTGGTAATCCTCACTGCAGTTTCAGTATATTTAGGATCACTGAAGTAGAAGGGGTTTATAAAGAGGTAATTCAGAATTGTTGAATTGTTTCCTATTTGATATTCTGTGGCAAAATAGTCTAACAATAACTGAACATTACTAAAAATAAGAACTAGATTATATCCCTAGACATGGACAGTGGAAGAAGAATAGTCTCCCCTCATAGATCAAATAAAGGGTTCTGTTCAGGATTCCCTGTAGGCTACCCAGATCAATATACACTTGTGCAAGGCTGGAAGGCACAACGACTGAGATGTTGTAATAATGACAACAAAGATGAAGACAATGGTCAGAATGTAATCAGTGTAAATAAATAATCTAACAGCTGTAAAAAGAATTCTTTTAAACACTTTCTGATGCAAAAATGGCATTAAATTTATATTTTTTCGATTCTTCAAACTTTTTAACATAAAGTCATCAAATAGAAGAATTTAAAAATCATACACACTGAACGATTGCATATATATTTTTCAAAAATAAATATTCGCTGTAGAGCTTTATTTATTTTCTGAAAGGAAATAATGTTTTATAATATGCAATCAGTACCTCTCCAAATATTTTTTTAGTTTTATTGAATTATTTTTGTAAAGGTTCTGAACATATTTATTTTTTTTTAAATGACATTTCAGGGATCTTTTTGGTTTGAAAGCTATAAAAATAGGTAAAATCGTGATACCTAAGGGTTAAATTAATTTTAAAAATGAAGCTTTCTTGAGACTTTCATTTTTAGTTGGTGTATTTCAAACAGAAATTATATTGATTGTAATTAAACACACACACACATATATATATATATATATATATATATATATATATATATATATATATATATATATTTTTTTTTTTTTTTTTTTTTCTCAACATTGATAAAATTTGAGACATTTGTAGTCACAAGTTAGTTCTGTTTTTAAAAATTTAGCAAAAATAAAATTTCTGAAGCATTATTAGAGTAAAATTAGCAAGTTAAATTAAAAAATGGCATCTAATTTTAAGTGTTTAGCATGTAACCCAAAATATTTCTACAAAGTTTTCTAATAAAATAACTTATTCAATATAATTAATATTTATTCATTAATGAATAAGTTATGAAAATTTCATTTAAATCGGGTGGCTCCCTCATTTTTGGTAAATTTTTTTTTTTTTTTTTTTTTTAAACTGGTTGCTGGTTTCTACTTACCCCCTTTTTCTGAAAAAGGGGTATTGGCTGTGCTCAGTGCAGATTATATTGATTGTAATAATAGATATATAGTTTTTTTTTTTTTTTTTTTTAAAAGGGGAGATAACCTAAAAATTGTCATTTTTTTTTTTTCTCTCATTTTATAATGCGCGTGTTTCGCTAGACATTCATCCACTTTTCAAACCTTCTTTTGCCGCTGTAGACTGTTACGTACGTATTGATCACATTAGTAACATTGCAGCCAGTGAAATGCCATTTTTAAATTCTTGTGATAGCAACAGCACATGCAGCATACAGAAGTTAAAATTACACGAGTTCGGTCCCGGAGGGGCTGATTTTGTTAGTAAGTTTTCTCGGTTGTTCTACAGAAAGTCCCTTTGCAATATCGGTGTATTAAAAAAAGTCTGAGAAAATCATTTATTTTTTAACATAATCTCCCTTTTCAATTCACTTAATTCACAGTTCAGCTAATAACTGCCTCTGTGCATAGTCTACAGACTATTAAAAATACTAATTGTAAATGTAAAAAAAATGAGTTTAAGTTTAAAATCTCAATAGCTACCCGATGATTTAGGAGGACTTATGTTGAGTAATGCACGCGACACGTGCATTTTTTTTTTTTTTTTTTTTTTTTAACAAGTGATATTATTTCTTAAAATATAATTTATCTTTGTCCTCAAAAGTTCTTACTATTCTCACACAATTTTTAAATATTTTCCCCCTCTTGTTCTTTCGTAGAGTCCGCCTTGTTTGCTCTTAGCTCTGTAAACATGAGTCCACCATATTGCCATAGTAAGGGAGGTAATGCAAAAAAAAAAAATTATCATAAAAACTTGCACTAAATTTTAGTCACACACACACACACACACACATATATATATATATATATATATATATATATATATATATATATATATACACACACACACTAGGTCTGGATACTTCACAAAATCAGCGTTAGGTTTTTTTGTTTTTTTTTTTTTCGTCTTAGAGAAGTATGAAAAACTGACAAATATATTGAATAGCATGTATGTTTCACCATTCTTGGTTAAGCTGAGAACTGTTCAGCATCTATGTATAGTGCACACATGTAGGGGTGCTGAAAAGTTTTTTTGTACAACTATCCAGAATTTAACAAAACATTGGGATTTATTTTAGAATTCCTTTTTGGTCATGTCAAGAATTTTTCCAAGTTATTAGCACTATGTATCAATATTTTAAGGTTTCCTTGTTAAATTTCTCTTTCTTTTCTTTCAAGGACAATAAGGATATAGATTCTTCTGATATTTCCTTTGTGCCTATCTCTAAGGAGATTCTTAAAAAAGAGAAGGTAAGAACAATTGCTTTTTTTATTTTTTTATATTGTGTTGAATTAGTGCCTGCATTTTTGAACTCTTTGAAAATCCTGCTTTATGTGAGAATGGTATTCAATTTTTTGTAATATTAGCCACTGACAGCTTCCCATTCAATCAGTATAAGGGAACATTCTATTGTAGTTTTAATTTTACTTTGTTGCACAAAGCTAAATTTGGTAGATTTTGGTAATTTGGCCATAAAGCAGGTGACAAAGTACTGTTGTCTTTCTGTTGTACTTTTTTTTTTTTTTTTTTTTTTTTTCAATTTGCCTATATTTGTTTACTATTCTCAGTACATGCACACATACCTAGGACAGTCTAATTTATAAATTAGGCTCAGAGATTAACAATAACAGTTGTTATAAAATGTACTGTCATGAGGACAATACAAAACGATTGGAAAAGAAGCTAGATGGCATATATACTAGGATGCTACCGGTTGCATTGAATTGATCTTGAAAACATGACCACACAAAATAAACAAATTGGCTTGATTGGTGTCTCCTCCCCATCTTGATGGGAAAGATATTTGCTGAGCATTCCTAGAGTAGTAAGGTTATCGGTTACATTCTGTTGTGGACAGCAAAACCTTGGACAAATGAGCATTGGTCCCCCATTCAAAATGTCCAGCAAAGATACAGGATACCAACCAGAAGATCTGCCTGGATAATCATGACTGGCACAAAAGCCTCATGAGGATCTGTACAATGATAACACCACATAGACATTGACAAAATGATTAGAAAAGAAGCCAGTTGGCATGTAGACAAATTCAATGTGTTGCATTGAATCTATCCTGAAAATAGCGCCTTACAAAAAAGGTGACTCTATAGCCATCTACCTCTAATTTTACAAGTCATCCAGGAGAGGCCAACAAGGTTTACATAGCATCTCTGCAGAAGTAAGAAAACTTATAAGTGGGGTAGGGGATATGTAAATTATAAAAAATTATATATCATTTTCACTGTTTGAAAAATCAATTGGCGGGGGGGGGGGAATCTTGAAATTTACTCATCTGTAATACTTACTGTAAAGAATAGAGAGGAAAAACCTTGGATTTAAATAAGATTATAGGAACACGAAATATTTTACAAAACGCACTCAATGCATCAGTTGTTCACTCTAATGAGCCTGACAACAATTTTTTTTTTCTTTCTTTTTTTTTTTTTTTACTTAAAGTAAATTACTAAGATGAAAATGTATAAAAAGTGCTTTAATTGATAGATCATCCACAGTAAATTTATGCCAATGCTATTACAATATTTCACCTTTCTTGGCAGATAAAAATATAAGCAAAAAGAAACTAAATGGAATTGACTGGATTATATGCCTAAACATTAAAAAAAAGGGGGGGGGTTAAATTTAAGATGAAAATTTCAGTGTTCCCTCTCTTTTGTGTGCATGTGTAGTTACATCACCTTAGTTTGATGAAGTCCTAAATGTGTTGCACAAAATAAAATGTTTCATTTTTCAATTGATCTTCCTAACACTGTTTAAAATATAAAAACTAATTATTTTAAGATATTTTTGTTTTAACATTCCTTTTATAGATACAAATATTTAAGTAAATGCTCTGTTTATAATAAACAGTATTAAATGATATTTACTGGTCTGAATGTCCAAGAAATTTTTGTATCTAAAAAGAATTTTAAACATAAAAATGTCTTAAAATAATTGCCGGATTTTGTCCCTTTCATTCTTTATTTGTCCTATTCTGTGTGAAAGGATTTACTGCAGAATGATAGATGTACACTGTTTGGCCTAAATGTTAGTTTAGTGGCTGCTTCTCATGTTTGTGTCTGGAATCCAAGTAACTTTGATTCTAAAATGGGTTCAAAGCATTTGAAAATTGTAAATTTGTCTACTTTGCCAAAATTGTTGGTTGAACTGTTTTTTTTTTTTTTTTTTTTTTTTTTTTTTTTTTTTTTTCCCCAAATCTATTGTCAGAAATAAAGTTTGGAGTTGTGACAAATTTCCTTTTGTATGTGTGTAGTACTGTCAGAACATCTAAAAAAAATAAATAAAAAAAAAAAAAAAAAGTATTTATTCAGGTTGAATGTTTTTGATATTTGAAAAGAGAAAATGACGATGTTGATGTTTTTAAACTTCTTTGGTTTTTATTTGTTTGTCAGAGTCCAATAATAAGTTGGATAAAAAAATTGCAGATGAATCCACCAACTGTAATGAATTTAGAGGTAATTAAAAATTTAATCCACTGTACCATTAGACTGGAGGTTCTTGGGTTTACCTTTTTCAGTGCTACAACATGCATCAAGCTCACTTATCAGTTTAAATGCTTGTCTTATTGGTTGGACCCTTATAAAGGGTGAAGTGGTTTTGATTTAAAAAAACAAAAAATCAACCATCTTCTTGAGGGCAGGCTAGTAAATTTTTTTTTTTTTTTTTTTTTTAAGGACAGGGATAAATATTAAATTTATTAAAAAGGACGTTTTTGTTGAACATGATAGTTGCTTCCCTTCGAGTGCAGTGGGTTAAATTTTTTTTTTTTTTTTTTTTTTTTTTTGTATTGCATTTTTTTTCTCTTGTTTATCCTAAACCCAAATAGTTTTAAATTCTTTTAGGGGGCATCCCCCATTAAACCTTTTAAGTAATTTACACCTCCTTTTAGTATAAAGCAGTTTTTTCCATTGTAGATATTCTAATGTTCTGTGACTTAAAAAAAATTTAAACTTGGTTTGATTTTACAACATGCCCCCCCTTTTGTTATTTTAAGTTGGGTTTTTGTATGGGGTACCTAATGAGGATCGAACTTGCTACATGGCAGTAATGGTCAACCAGGCTGTCCTCACTGACCTCACACTTGAGATACTCTGATCGTATATTTCTTTATGTATTAACTGTTTATATACCTGTCACATCACAGGGAGGTTTTATTAAGGTCATAAAAACCTTAATTTACTTTAATCCTTACTTATCCAATTCCAGCACCCTGCCCCAACCTGAAAAATTCGTTGGTAGTAATTTTCAGCCAGAATTATTTTTTGGTAAACCTTATTTGCACCTCCTCCGATATACAGGCTTGGCATTTCCTTATGCCGCGTGTGTATTCTATTTTTGCTGGTGTACAATCTCCGGAGCACCCCCCTCCTAAACCGGGATGGGCAGGTGATAATGAGAAATTAGAGATTATTGGAGGTCTCAAAAATGGCTCTTCAGTCTGGGCAATCAGAAAAACCAACAAGATGATTTTGAGGTTTCCAGGGGTAGTGAGGCAGGACTTACCTTTCTGTGCTGGGTGTCAAAAATCAAAACCAGTAATCACCTAGCACCTTGTGCTAACCCCTGCCTTTATAAGAGCCAGATCAGACCAAAACTTAACTCATTGTCATATTTGGACAGGACTTTTTTTTGTATTATTATTAAATGACCCCAATCATTATATTGGGGCCTTGTATATATATATATATATATATATATATATATATATATATATATATATATATATATATATATATATATATATATATATATAAGCAAAAGATCCGACAGAATGAAGAAAAATTTTGGAAAAAAACAAACAAAAATCCTTAAATGCAATTATGTTGTTTAAAATGAATGAAATGTCAACGTCTGACGTTTCGGTTTGATAAACCTTTTTCAAGACAATATTCATTAAAATACAATTCAGTCCATCTCACGCACGGTGAATACTAGACCTGGTTTCTTTAATATTTCCCCTTTTTTTAGCTTAGATTAATGCAAACAAGCATACACATAAAAATTTTAGATCCTAATAGAACTCTTTTCATTTTCTTTTTTCATTTCAAAATAATCAAATTTTTTAGGAATACGTTTTGAAAGCGTCGCCCATGTGGCGATAACGTGAACATGCTAAACGGAAAGCTGATCATTTAAAAATTTTCAGTTATCTGTTTTGGATGAGACTTGTTTTTTATGTCCATCGTCTTTGTCAAATTGAACTGAATTGTATTTTAATGAATATTGTCTTGAAAAAGTTTATTAAACCCAGACGTCGACATTTCATTCATTTTAAACAACATAATTGCATTTAAGGATTTTTTTGTTTTTTTTTTCCAAATATATATATATATATATATATATATATATATATATATATATATATGAGAGAGATAATTGGATGCCAAGTACTACATTAACCTTTTATCACTCTGGTTTCATTTTCTGTGCAAAAAGTTTATCCTTCCACTGAATTTGAATTTCATAGTTGTCGTCATATCCTGTTATGGCAACAGAAAACACCTTTGAGTGGAATTAACAATAAGGTTACTGCAATTGAGAAAGAATGTAATATGTCGTTTGTTAAAGGTTAATGAAGTTACTTTTTAAAACTTATTGTATAACCAAAATCTAATTTAATTTCTTCATTTTGATATTAAAATATTTTTAAATGTTATTTTTAATTAACATATTTCATTTAACTTATTAATAACTAATTTTAAATTAATTTTATGATCTACAAGACTAGTTTCATATATGGTGGAAATGTTATGCAATTAGTCTTGAGATACATGAATTTAAATGAATTGACGTTAATTTGGAGCTAGATCTTTTTGTTGAAATATTCAGTTTTTTACACTAAAAAACTAATCAAAATGTTTTATTTCAGGGATTTGGCTGACTTAGCAGTCTTGCGTCTGCTACAGGGTTTAAACAGACAATATATTGCAGAGTAAGAACCTAATGCCTAGATTTAAATATCAGCCTTTTGACAATAGGGAATGTCAGTTTAAATCTCGGAAGCGTGTACATTCAATTCCATACTAAATTTTTAGAACGTTTTATAAAATAATGCAAATTTAATAACACCTATCGAAAAACTGTAAGTTGTGGTGTACAAATAGTTTTCAAGCCTAAAAAATCTCTTCAAGACAAGGAGTAAACTTATATTAAGAGTATAAGATGCAAACTTTTACCACAGAGTTGTAACCAAGTGATAGCACTCCTGATAATTACTGTACACCACTTGCCGTACCTTTGCTAGCCTGTCACAAATATATCATAAAACTTGTGCTTTGTGAAGATATTTCAGATATTAACACAGAAATTTAGTTTCACAAATTCAGTATTCTATCGTAGGTCACTGAATGATAGTATGTTTTACATCACTGAATGATAGTATGTTTTACATCACTGAATGATAGTATGTTTTACATCACTGAATGATAGTATGTTTTACATCACTGAATGATAGTATGTTTTACATCACTGAATGATAGTATGTTTTACATCACTGAATGATAGTATGTTTTACATCACTGAATGATAGTATGTTTTACATCACTGAATGATAGTATGTTTTACATCACTGAATGATAGTATGTTTTACATCACTGAATGATAGATCACTGAATGATAGTATGTTTTACATCACTGAATGATAGTATGTTTTACATCACTGAATGATAGTATGTTTTTACATCACTGAATGATAGTATGTTTTACATCACTGAATGATAGTATGTTTTTACATCACTGAATGATAGTATGTTTTACATCACTGAATGATAGTATGTTTTACATCACTGAATGATAGTATGTTTTACATCACTGAATGATAGTATGTTTTACATCACTGAATGATAGTATGTTTTACATCACTGAATGATAGTATGTTTTACATCACTGAATGATAGTATGTTTTACATCACTGAATGATAGTATGTTTTACATCACTGAATGATAGTATGTTTTACATCACTGAATGATAGTATGTTTTACATCACTGAATGATAGTATGTTTTACATCACTGAATGATAGTATGTTTTACATCACTGAATGATAGTATGTTTTACATCACTGAATGATAGTATGTTTTACATCACTGAATGATAGTATGTTTTACATCACTGAATGATAGTATGTTTTACATCACTGAATGATAGTATATTTTTACATCACTGAATGATAGTATGTTTTACATCACTGAATGATAGTATGTTTTTACATCACTGAATGATAGTATGTTTTACATCACTGAATGATAGTATGTTTTACATCACTGAATGATAGTATGTTTTACATCACTGAATGATAGTATGTTTTACATCACTGAATGATAGTATGTTTTACATCACTGAATGATAGTATGTTTTACATCACTGAATGATAGTATGTTTTACATCACTGAATGATAGTATGTTTTACATCACTGAATGATAGTATGTTTTACATCACTGAATGATAGTATGTTTTACATCACTGAATGATAGTATGTTTTACATCACTGAATGATAGTATGTTTTACATCACTGAATGATAGTATGTTTTACATCACTGAATGATAGTATGTTTTACATCACTGAATGATAGTATGTTTTACATCACTGAATGATAGTATGTTTTACATCACTGAATGATAGTATGTTTTACATCACTGAATGATAGTATGTTTTACAATAACATACGTAATGTAACAGTACTATAAAAAAATCTATGATATATAATCTACAGTATTAATTTTTTATAGTTTACTTTAATGCATTTATCAGTAGACTTGACAAATTTTAAGTGTTTGCAGGTTCATTATAGGACTCTCATCTTATGACGCTCATATACCCTCTTAAATGGGAAGATGCTATATCATTATAGATATCAGCATATTCATTACAAGTTTTAATTGGTTGTATGTGTTAATTTTCCTTTTTTCTTTTTCTTATAGTCTAAACGGAGTAAACAATCTGAAAATAAAGTAAGTTTTTTTATTTTTTTTTTTTTTTTTTTATTTTTTTATTTTTTTTTTTTAATTACCTTCTGGAATAATTATAAATTCTGTTTCTCATATTGCTTAAATTTCCATCTGTTTCAATGAGATGTTTACATATAGTTGCATTAAATATATTTCTGCTACAAAATCCTGATTGGATCACAAACATTACTCTGTTTATTCAAATATGGCTGTTAAGTGTAAGACTCTGAAACTATTTAATCATCCAGTTTATCTTTGATTCCTGTCAAATGGTGGTAAGTATACATCTGCTTCTTACTGGATAAAGAACAGAGAAAAGTATCATGGACATGTGCAGGATTGTGGAACTTCTCCACCTCCATAACTTGCTAAATGTAAGTTGTTTCCTAATGGTGAAAGTTGTTAAAGGCACTGGAAGAAGTCTTGAAGTCTTCTGCAAATTTAGATGAGGTTGATAAAATTGGAAATGAATGTTGCTCCCTACATCCATACTTTTTTTTTTTTTTTTTTCTTCAACTCTTGTTTCAAGATCTCAAGATAATTCCGGAAGTACTGTATTTCTAGTTTTTGCAACCTTGTTATCGCATCTTAAATACCCCCCTTTCACAATATTATTAGTATCTCTGATTACAAATGTCAAAACAAAAAATATATATATATATATATATATATATATATATATATATATATATATAAAATTATTTTATTCAAAAAAAGCTCGATTATATTTCTTTTGCAGATAAGTACAAAAAACTTCCGATGTTTTCTGATCAACAACGCAAAGCAGTTTTTAAAAGTGTGAAAAAACTCATTGAGAGTGAGACTTCTGAAGGTAAATCTCTTTTACTTATGTGCTTTTTCTTATATTGGATAGAATTTGGTTTATTAGCTGTAATAGTATTAATTTCTCTGAATCTTTTTTTTTTTTTTTTTTTAGATAATGCATTGTCAATTATTTTGAAGAGTTTCTTTCGACTTATTGCTTTTGCTGGTTTTTTTTTTTGTTATTGCAACTCCAAGAGCATTTACTATACAGTTATTAATTAGGAATGAGCTTATCAAGATTTAAACTTGCTTGCTTTATTTTTAAGTGGTAGACAGGATATTGGCTTGGTTATTAGGCTATGGAATTTTTTTTTTTTTTTTTTTTTTTTTTTTTTTCTCTTTAAGTCCTGGTAGCTTTCTATTTTTAAAAATTTTTTTATTTTATTAAAAAAATCAAAAAGTGATATTTGGCATTCGTGAAAAAAAAAAATTAAAATAATTATGCATATAAGGGTGGTTGTAGCTCAGGAATCCTCAAAATAAGGCAATATGGATGGTGGGCATTAAATAAATCCTGGTGGCTTATAACTATAGAGTAATTGACAGAAATAGCCAACAAACAATTGACATTGTTTGCAATGAACAATATAAAAAAAAAAAAGACAAAAATAATATGAAGCAAACAACATATGCCAGACAAAAAGTTGGCGAAGCAATAGTAATGGGTCAGAATTTTAAAAATTAACACAAAAGGGATACAGACAAGTGATTACAGCGTTCTGACTTAAGAACAAAAATATGGCAGATGGGACCAAAAAAGTGGCCAATTTTATTGGCTAGGTAGAAATCCCAGCATGCATCTGTGCAGTTTGTCTGTAAATTTAGGGAGTTTTTTTTCCCAGTCATTTCTATAGATTGGAATCAGCAATAACTGTACACTCACCAATATCCAACCAAATACCAATGCCCTTGCTAATGCTCATCACTTTAAATAATACCACCTCCTCATTCATTCAATACAAAGGTATATTAATTTATTTTCAATGTTTATTATATTATAAAATTATTTCGTTATTATAATTATCTTGGAGAAGTGTGAATTAAAAGATAACGCTGTTTAACTATTTCAACAGTGTTTTCAGGACATCATATAAAATTGCATACAATTACAAAAATATAAAAAACTTCAAAATTTAGGTATACATTACTTGCCTTGAGAAAAATGGTTGTACTGGTAATCAACATAAGACAAATGAAACCTGAGTGACTGGAAGGCAACTCAAATATAACCTGATGGTGATTGTGTTATCTAGAAATTTTCTGTTAGTTGATTCGTTAAATGTTATGGCAATCATTGTTTATTGAGAGAACCAGCAAACAAGTGACAGAGGTAGGAATATACAAAGCTCAATGTAATCCTCTTGACATCCAGTCTGATAAGTGCATACCAGGTACATGCATCACAGCCAAATGTGAGATATTGACAGGTTTTGATAAAAGCAGTTTGAAATTTTCTCTTGCCCCCTCTTCTCGTCCCCCTGTCTATACAAACCTTAATACAGTATCAAGTATTTCATGAAGGGGTCAATTGTCTAAAAGGATTGGGAATTGCTGCTTTATCAATATCTATAATTTTTTATTTTCTCCGACATTTTTGCAGAAATGCTCTCTGTTCTTCCTATTATTTGAAATGAAGAAGCATTGTCACTTGTCCATTTAATTATTGTATCAAATATGCATCAGTACAGATGCAAAAGGGTCCCTGTATTTCATGCGGGCATGTCTGTCTAAACCAATTAGATCTGGGTTTTCCATGTTTGCAGAACAGCTTGGTATGTTCAGATATGGGCCTCTAGATCCAGGTTTCTGTTAGCTGTCTCCTGTTAATAAAACTAGCAATCAACTATGGTCAGTTGGTAAGACTGTGTTTTGTGAAGATGGGCCTGTGTGCATTTTGTTACTGCCTGTCTTTTTCCTTTCTCTGCCTATTACCCTTGTTGTGGTTGGAGGAGAAATCGTTCAGGTGCACCCTGCCAACCTTTTGCCATATTTTACATATATTTTTAAAGTGGTATATATATCTGAAGGAGGTAGAGGGCAACAGATAATGTAATAAAACTTGTCTTGTGTTTTGCAGATTTTATGAAAAAGAAAAAGTAAATAGAAAACTTATTTACATGTACCTTTTTTTTCTTTTTCCAACAGATGAATACCTTCGTAAGCTGGAACTGAAAAAGTTAATCAAGAAACTGAAAGAGAAAGCTGCTCGTGGCACTTTGGGAGGTAAATTGTATTAATTTTAACAAAGAAACATTCAATCACTATAATCAATTTTCTGCAATGCATTTACCTTAAACATTGTTTTCAGTAAATAATTATCATTAATTTCTGTTTTAGTTTGCAAAATGTTTAAAAAAAAAAAATTTTTTTTTTTTTTTTTTTTGGAGGTGGGGGGATGTTCTTGCCTTGATCCAGTTTCAAAAGGAAAGTGAGTAGAAGTTATTTATGTATTATTTTGGATTGGGTTTGATGCATGTGTTAGTTTTGAATAACATGAGGTTATGGATTTGTTTTCTTTTAATCCATAACCTCATGTTATTCAAAATGTATAACACTACTCACTTTTATTTATCAGACAGTGATCTGCATCATCTCATGCCCATGGACTTGCCTGACATTTCTGCTAACCTGATAAAAATTCATGGGTACCCCTATACCAAAAATTTTGAAATACTAACATTTTTGTTCTTGTATATAAATATTTGTCACAAAATAAAATCCTTACATTTGACTTGATAGTCCTTCAGAGGACGAAACATTTTGGCTAAGATATGCTTAACTTTTGACTTTATTCATATTGTCCATTTACAGATAGTATATTTGAAATTTTATTTTTTTCACAAAAGTATGATTCAAAAAGAGTTTTTTTTTTTTTTTTTTTTTGTAGGGGAAAGGTTTCTTGGTCGGGCTGAGTTTTTCGCATTCCTCCTTACTGACTTTAAATGCAGTTGGTATGCAATACTATTAGGTTAAGTCAGAAGTAATTTTGGGGACCAATTGTAATGACGAATGTATCATTGTAACTCCTAATCGTACGTGACAGTGGTGGGGGGTTAATTTGTCATGCACTAACATACCTTAGTGGCAGCATACACTGGATTAAAGAATAAACTTTGCTTGACTACTTATGATACTGGTTTGACTAATGAAAAACTAATGAATATAATGGAAGAGGTGAATAGAAAAAATAGTTAATGTTAGCTGTAATATAAAAAAATGCTATTGTCTCTTGGGGAGGGGATCCCTTGTCATAGGCAAGAAATCAAAGTATTTGAAGATGTTTGCACCATTTTTAATGTTTTTAAGTGCTTCTCTCTTGGTGTAAAGTCACCTGATAATTTGGTTTTAATTACTATAAACCAAGGACAGAAATATGGAGTGCAAGACTAGTGAACTTTGACCTTTGGTTTTTATGAATAACTTGCTAACTTTTGTTCATAGCAAGATAGTCTTTAGATTTATCAAGATTAGCACCATCTGTCAAAGGTCACATATTTGTAGTGCATTCACTGAGGAGGCTTTACTGCTCAACCATGAAAGTTACAAGTAAGCAAGGTCCTATTTTCCCTTAAGTTGCCAAGCATAAAACCTGTTTGATCAAAGGGTAGTTTCTCCTACAATGCAGGGGATACAAGTTCAATCTGTGCTGAAGAAGAAATTTTCGTTTAAGAAGATGCTATTTTCATTTTTATAAATAATACGGAATTTTACAGCTGGTCTTAATGGGTTAATTTTATGAAATCCCGAGGGGAAATTATTTCAGTTATTTTCTAAACTTTTTATCTTTTATTGGCTGTTAATTTTTCAAGAGTCAAATATCATAATTATGAATTTTTGAGGAAGTTATAAAATATTACTTGTACCAAATTTGGTATATTATCCTACTGAACAAAAATGTACTTTTTATCTAAGAACAGAATTGGAAAATTTCCTTTAAAATATTTGATTCATTCTACATGAATAACTATCCTGGGTATGACAAACTATATCCAGCAGCAAGGCCTCTGTCTGAAAGGTTTTGAGGGGCGTGTAACCACCTCTTAATTGTCGTTCTCAGGGCCTCCTTGACCTGGGGTGGTAGCACCTGTTAGGGTCTCAGCTATGGGGAAAATACTCTAAACTGGGGTCAAAACACTATGAAAGTATGGACAAAACCTGTAGGCAAAATTTAAAACAAAAAACACACCCCTCAAATCATTGTTGTATTTCAAAATTTGAAGGCTTAGTGGAATGTCCTATTAGTTATAGATTTTTATAGAAAAAATACCAGCAATACATTTTTGAAAAAAAATATATTAGTACATATTCTATTCATATGAACCGATTCTAAAAAAGCCTGTTGGCATTAAACAACCCATTGAGGTGTTGATATGCCATAAAACAAAGTAAACCAAACTACATGAATAATTGATAGAATGTGACCAGAACCTGCAATCGGAATCAAGACTATGGATAAAAGATTCCCTTTTTAATGTTTCAGCAAATATTAAGTAAAATCAAATAATTTGTACTTTTTTTTTTTTTTTTTTTTTTTCTCTCTAGAAAAAAAGAGCTCAGAAATTGAGGATAAACAAAAGAAAAAGAGCAAGAAAAATAAAGAAACTGTTGAAGTCACAGATGAAAGTATGTAAACATTTTTCTGATATTATCTTATCTTTAGTTCTTATTCATGTTTAACCCTTTGGAGACAGAACCTTGTTTGGAGTTTCAGTGCCAAGAAGATGGAGCCCTTTTCACAAGCATTCACTTGGTACATGAAAAAAAAAGAAAAAATTATATAAAAAAAAAAATCACAGAACACAGCAAACTATTAAAATTGCCATTTAAAAGGCCCAGATATGCAAGAAGAAAACTGATTGGCTGGTATGAAGACCAACCACTAATCACAAGGCTTGTGTTATCGGGCCGATGGATTGGCCCAGTTGTCATCTTTGTCATTCGACTTTTCGGCTGATGGATCAACCTTGTTGTCTTAAAGGTTAAGATATGTGTTAGACATTTTGATTTTTGAATTGGCATATCCTGCGGAATAGTTCTTGTACTATTTATTTGGATATATTTCAGTTGAATTGAATGTAGTAAAAGTAATTTTTCATATAGCCAAACACATTTAAAGAAAAATTTTAAAGTTTAAAATTTCGGCATTTTCTCTTCATGCATATGTGTAGTCACATCAATGTAAACATAATTTTAGTCTGAAGTCCTAAAAGACAAAACCTGATGCATGAAGTTTTTTTTCTATTTTTTCATAGATTTTTCCTAAAATTGTTCTGATATATAAAAATCTTTCTTTCTGAATTTGTACGTTTAGAACCTTTTTTAAATGCATTTTTTTCAGCTTAAAAATTTTGTAAACTTAAAAATTTTCACTTTTTTCACTTAAAAATTTTGTAAATTTAAAGGGAATGTGTCCTCCATAACAATTGAGGTGATAAAAATATTCAATTATGAATCCATTAATTATTTAGAAATAAACATAAGTTCATCTCAAACTGCATGTGGTTGATTGGGGGGGGGGCATAGAAAAATTCACCACCTGATCTGACATGTATTTCATTAAGATGGATCAAAGTCAGCAGTAAATAAATCCGTGTTATTAGTGAAAATTATTTCTCTATTGGATCATGTTATTTAAGTCATTGCAATTATGTGTGAAAAATAATATTGTCCAAATGTCCACCAAGTCTTTGGTGGCACACCTCCACTCAATGGTCAAAATTTTTGATGTCTCTGCATAGTTGCTCCTTGATCTCCCCAGTATGCCTTGTCTCATCCTTCAGCTGTTGAATTGTTGTTGGCTTACTTTTTAGATGATCCCAAAGGGAAAAATCTAAAGGCATCAAGTCACATGATTGTGTGGCCAACTGTTTTGAGAGATGATGCAAGCTGGGAATTTCTCATTCAAATTCTGTTTGAATGTCCACTTTCGTAATAGGCTTTGAAAACTTGAACATGTTGTTTGATTTGTTAATCTTTCCATGGTTGAAATTGCCAAGGACTTAAGTTGTTAAATCTAAAAGAAAAAAAGATCATTAGATGCTTAAATTTAATTTACATTTAAAATCGGTCCAAGTTATTGGGACACCCTTTATGTACTTTGTCACTTTTAATCGTGACTCTCGCAACTTTTCCCTTGGTGTTAGTAGCAAACCTGACTTTCTTTGGAGCCATTAGTAGTTATTGTAGTTAAAAAAAAAAAAAAAAAAAAAAAAAATGGCTACGCATACACTAATAGGGTATAATGTCATTGGTGACCAGATGAGTAACTGTATTCGTGCAATTGGGGCTTCTTTCTTTGATTGGTGTTTCTTTGGCTGATGGTGGTTTTATTCAAGAACTTAATTTCTTTTTGAAAATGAAGGCATACTTTTTCTCACAAGAATTTGGACAAGGGGGTATTTAAGAGCCATGGTTCCATGGTATCTGGGCATTGGAAGTTTGTCTGACACCACACATATTCCATTTTTTATTTTTATTTTTTTTTTATTCTATTAGCAGAAATTGTTGAAGAACCAGTAAAATGTAACAGGAAGATGAAGAAAAAGGCTATAGCAGCTTTGGAATTGGCAGAAGGTATGTTCTATTTAAATGTCACTCTAGATCAGGAGTACCCAACCTTTTTTGCATTATCACTTGCTTTTTTCCACTGCCCACCCGTATAGTAAATATTCAAAAGTATACAAAAATTGTCTGGTAAAAGTTTGTTACTGGTTCATAAACTGATGTAGTAAAAAATAACAAAGCGAGGTAACAAATAATGCCGACTTATGCAGATTCTGCTACCATTGTATTAAAGAACAAACGTACGCAAATTTGACCATTGAAAACTGCATATATAATTTAGTTTTATGGTTAGGATTAGCATTGCAAGTGCTGACAAAGAATTAAACTGTTTTTTTGTTCAGTGTGTATATATATATATATATATATATATATATATATATATATATATATATATATATATATAAAAAATTAAAAAGAATATACACTACTAGCACTTAATGTTTGGGGCGGGGTTCCCCTCTTGGCTTTCTCATACATTTTATATTTGAGAAAATGTTATTTCATCTGAAGAACTATTTGAATGTTAATAACCCTTCTCAAAACTATAGAGAATATTGATTGTTTGTGGGGATATTTATATCTTATCTAGGAATATGACCCAGTTATTCTCATTTAGGCTCCTCTTTGGGAGTGGGGTTGTTATACAGGTGCTTTGCATATCTCCTTTGAATTTTTTTTTTTTTTTTTTTTTTTTTTCTGTGTAGCATATGTTAAAATACCATTTTAATACTTAAAATCCTATATTGCTCACTGGTAGGCGATATTACCCAGCTTGGGAAACACTGCTCTAGATTGTTTATCCTGGCAAAAGAATTTGAACAGAATTGTGTTAAGCAGAAAAAAAATTAGGTAGATGTCCCTAATGGGGGTGACAGTGCACACCATCAATGGAGACCAATGTGTAACTGATGTATCCATGCATTTAGTTGCTTCCTCTCTTTAATTGGTGTTTCTTTGGCTGATGGTATTTTCATTCAAGAACTGAATTTCTGTTTGAAAACCACTGTGTATTTTACTCCAAAAATTTGAACAGGGGGGTATTAAAGATCCAAAGTTTGGTAACTCCACAAGGCTTGCAGATTTTACAGTATCTCTGCAGTTGTCGTAAAGAAATGTGCTCATGAACTTGCTCCCGTTTTCTTCAAATTTTACAATTGATGTCTTCTGAAGTTGACGTTTTTTAATAGTTCTTCTGCTGGCAAACCTTCTGACCATTCAAATTGTTGCACTATTAGTCTCTTACCCCCTCCCCCTTTTTTGTGAAGTACATGACTCTAATCAACACTGACTTGGTTAAGCATCTTACATCACATGTCCTCCTTTCAGATAAACCATCTGACTTCTGTTTCCGATGTTAATGGCCATCACTGAATCTATCTATTGAGATTTAGACAAGGTTGACAAAGCTCAGTCTGTAGCTATCTCAAAGGTATTTGACAAGGTTTTTGCATGCTGGAGCTTTGATATCACTGGATCATTTGGCTTAATCCAAGTGCAATAAAGATTGTGTTGAATAGCTAATGCTTCTAGATCATTTCATACTAATGCTGTTCTCATTGAACCTATGTTCTTTTTGATCTTTGTCAGTGACCTCCCTCATGTCATCAGTTCCCAACTAGGTATTTATGCAAATGACACAACTATTTACTCCTCTTTTGTAAACCTAGCAACTGCTCTCAAAAAGGACCTGCAGTCAGTTAATTTGGAGCAAGAAATGGCTTTTAAATTTTAATGCCTCCAAAACAAAACTTTTATTTAATCAGCACAGAACCTTTTGTGGATGTCATCAGCATGGCTTATGCTAAACTCAGGAGAGCAATAATGTTTTTTTTTTTTTTTTTTTTTTTTCTTTTGCATTTTACATTGAGATGAAATATATATTGAAAGAATTGCTGTCTTCTTCTAGGAAAGTTGGTTCGCTGTATTGTGCCAGAAGGTTTTTCTTGCCATGTGCATTTATAAATTTACCATTCACCAGTACATTGAATACTTCTGCCATATCTGGTCTAGTGCTTCTGTTGTATATTTTACAATTCTTGGTAAAATTCAAAGTCTGTAATGTAATCGATCCTGACCTGATACCTAGGTTCTGAAGGTATATTCTATGTAAATGTCACTCTAGATTGTTTATCCTGGAGGAAAACTGTGTAATGGGAGGAGAATTTGAACAGAATAGTGATAAGCAGAAAAAGGTTGAGTCTTGATATTGCATCTGAGTAGGAGCAAGCTTCAAAAATTCATATATGGAGAAATCCTTAACTATGTGTTATATGGCATTTATACTTGGAGTAAAAAAAAAAAACTATATTAGTTGGTAGAACTTGGAAAGTTCACCAAAACATTTTAAATGTTGCTACATCTGGACTAAAACAAAAAAAAAACACAGGTTGCCTATATTTGAGTTACATTCACTTATGTACAAATATCTTTGTGAGAGGTATGAATTCATCTATTCCAACTGTGTTAAAATTGGGAATTGTATCTAGAAAAATTGCTATTCTCAAAAAGAAAAAAAAAATACAATCTACAAAGGCCTTTGTGCATCTCTTGTCCAAAACTGGAGGCCTATCTTAAATCATTGTTTCACTGGGGAACAAAGATTTTTAGTTTGGTTTTGTGACAGTTTGCTGCTGTAGCTGGCTTAAGAAAATCAAAGAAAGTAAAGAAATAAGATCGGAATTGTCTTACAAAATTAATCCTCTTTCTCTTGGTATATTTTTTCTTCACAATTAATATTTACTGTATATGTATGTATGTATACAAGGCAACCATTTACCCATATCCCACCTTCAAATAGGGGAGCCTTTTACTCTTCAGGTATAAAATGTGAACCTTAAATCATGTGGTTTATGGTAAATTGTGAGCGTGGGAAATTTTTTTATGGTAGGCTAACTCTGCCTTTGTAGCTATCGACACAAATATGTGTGAGAAGCCATTTTAAGATTGCATTCAAGAACAATGGAACAAGTGAATGGTTAGCAAGGAAGTAGTTCAGGTTACTGTAATAACTTAATGAAAACACAACACCCACTCATGAGGTATTGACAATTGCAGTAGTTAATTGAAAATATCTCTCCACTGTTTTTTCATTGGAATTTGAGTGGAAAAGTATATGCTTACTGAACTTCAATAAATAGATTCAATATGATACATTTTAAAATATGATTGGGAGAGGGTTTTCTTTTATGGCAGTTACAGCCCTAAACTTAAATTTTAACTTGAAAATTTGGGGGTCGTCTTATATGCCCAGTCACCTTGTACACCGGCATATACAGTAATTTGATGCATCTTTGGATTCATCACTTCTCACAAGGGTATAAGACAGGTTATATATATATATATATATATATAAGAAAAATACAGAAAAAAACAAACAAATTTTAACATGCAATTATACTGTATTAATGTTAATATAAAATCGACATAGGACGTTTTGGTCTATTTAAGACCATCTTCATGGACATTTTCATTTAAACATAATTAACATTAGAACATATAAAAATTTAACACAAAAGGCGATGGACATAAGAGCACAACTAATCCAAACAGATAACTGAAGTTTTTATACAAGATCAGTTAGATAAATTTCAGTTATCTGTTTGGATTAGTTGTGCTCTTATGTCCATCGTCTTTTGTGTTAAAATTTTAAATTTTTACCCATTTCATAAAACGGTCTTAATGAAAAAAACAAATATTGGGACTATGAATTCTGGAAGAAAAATATTACAAAGACGTGATGTGGGGTAAACATGGAAGATGTTATTGATTTGAAATGAAATAACTTATACTGAAGAAGGAAATTACTGGAAAGTAATTGAAACTCACCTGAAGCGAGCTGAATGTGTAATGCTCCTCATGCCAATGACACTTCCACCGAGCTTCTGTACGGCATATGACTTAACTGAATTTTGATGAATTTACTGTTATACATGGGTGGTTTAGCAGCAAGGTTAGGATTAATATTTTCTACACCTCATTTACATCACACACACACACACACAGTTTATTTTTTTTTTTTTTTTTTTTTTTTTTACAAGTAGAAACTGTACAGGAAGTGCAAGAAGAACAAGTAAAACGGGACAAAAAAAAGAAGAAAAAGTCTAGGGAAGCCTCTGAATTGACGGAAAGTATGTCCTGCTTATTTTAAATTCATATTTGATTAATTTACTATAAAAACGCCTTCAAAATCCAGAAACTGACAAATAAGATTAAAGAATTATTATATGAAGAAAAAAATTTGAAATTTATTGTTCATTATTGTTTTTAGTCTGAAATAGAAATTGCTAAATCCTGTATGATAAGAGTTAAAGTTGATTAAATAAAACAAATGATTATCAGATAAATTTTGAATGAATGTCATAATCTCTTATAACCTCTCCTATGGCAGGCAGTTATGTTGAAGTTAATATCTTAAAGACTTTCATTATGAAAAAAAAAATCTCCAATAAAGCATTTGTTTTTCTAAATTACTTAATTGTGTATTTGAGGGATTAGTTTATATTGTGGACATTTTTTTTTTTTTTTTTTTTTTTAAAAAAAGAAAAATTTACTTTTCTTTGCATCATTTCATTTGTCTACTTTCTAAATGGTAATGTTGATTTATTGACAGAAATTGGTTCTCAAAAGAGGAAATTGGTTGAAGATTCTGAAAATATAGAATCCTCCAAAGTTAAGAAATCCAAAAAGGTCAGAAGTATGTCTGTTGAAGATGATATTGAAGGTAAATAAAACAAGATTCAACATCATTAACCTATTGTTTATTAGCCATTAAATTATACAAATGACATATCTGTGTGTTTGTAGGATGTATAAATTCTTATAGAAAAGGTTTGTCAAATGTCTCATGAAAATTTTGGTCATGGGTAATTTTTTATTATTGATTTTCAAGGCTCTAGAATCATTGATAAATCTGTGGGTGATAATCTAAATGTTAAATTTAAATGTAACATCAATTGGCATTTTGTGTCTTCCTGTTCCTTGCCCTTTTACTCGCTAAAGTTTTCTCATTCTCTTTCACACTTTGTAACGCTCTGTGTCCTCATGGCATTATAGCCTTGCTTGGAGTAAAATGATTTAAAACAAAAACACAATCTTGGCATCAATGCTTTTGTGGGACACACCCATACACAAACATTTATTAAAATTTTCATGAGACATTTGACAAGCCTTTTTAATTTTTTTTTTTAATTTTTTTTTAAAAAAAATTTTTTTTTTTTTTTTTTTTTTTTTTTTTTTTTCATACAAGCAGAAAATGTAGATGAAGTGGACGATGAGAAAGTAAACCAGGACAAGAAAAAAACTATGGAGGCTTCAAAATTGACGGAAGGTATGTTTTATTTAAATGATTGTTTATCCTGGGGGATATGGTTTAGAGAAATTGAACAGAATACTGTTGAGCAGAAATAGTTTGATCTTTGTAAGAGTCTGACCTAATTAGGATGTGTTGTCGGGCTTCTCTGTTTTGAGGGTTGATTATCTTTGACATTTTGGGTTCAGTAATTTGTATAACTTGGAAATAAATTTGGGAATAATTCAAATTAATTGCAAAATCTAGCAAAAGTCATCCATGAAATAAAAGTAACTGTATCTATGAAAAGTAAGGGCCTATGTACATGAAATTGTCTTTGTTAAAATGCCGGCAGAAGAATTATTAAACTTTTGAAAGGTAAGCTTAAATATTATTCAAATGCAGCAATCAATTTTGAGTTCTTCTGAAGTTTACTGTTGCTTATCGCATGTGGCAGCAGTATGCCTTGCAAAAAGGAATCTCTGCCAACAAAGGACCAGATTGCAATCAAAAGAGCCGAAGCTGCAGTGAGGAAAAGAAAGTTCCATGCAAATGAAAATCCAAATCAAACTGCTACCAGGAGAGATTCCAATGCTGCGAATATGCAAAGCCTTAGAGACTCTCAAACCCCTGAACCAACTGAAGGCCTAAACAAGAGATTCTCCACAGGTGTTATCTTAAATTCTACTCGATAGGGTAGCTCTTAAGCTAGTATATATTTCTATCTCGATTCACCCCAACCAAGGCAATAATGCCAGTAAGACACAGTGGGCTACTGGGAATGAAAGAATGAAAGACTTCAGAAGCAATTGAAAACATAATTCTAAAAAGGTGGAACCAAGGGATAAACCTCTACTCCTGTTCAAAAAAAACTAGGGAGGAGTATGGACTTAGGTGATAGGCAAACATATCTACATCTATGGTGGGTGGGAAGTAGGTTTATAATATTAAACTTTGCTTGATAGACTACTCGCTCTCTGGCTGAGTCAGCCTAAAGCACATTGGATATATTGGCAGCTTCTACTGCCAAGGGAAATGTGTATTCGAATCCTGCTGGTGAGTGCATATTTTCCTTTAATGAGATTTCTTGAATATTCAGGTTTGCAGAAAAAAAGTTATTTTTAGTGGATATTTATTAAACAGTATATTTATTTTCATTTATAAGCCTGAATACTTGAGAAATCTTATTAAAGAATACTGCTGGAAAGCACATGTCTTTTCCTTAATAAGATTTCTCAAATATTCAGGCCAGTAGACAAAAATAAACACAGCATCAACTAAAATATGAGTATCTGTAAAAATAACATTTAAATAAATAAAGATCTGTTTAATTAAATAAAAAAGATCTGTTTAATTAAATAAAAAATAAAGATCTGTTTAATTAAATAAATAAAGATCTGTTTAATTAAATAAATAAAGATCTGTTTAATTAAATAAATAAAGATCTGTTTAATTAAATAAATAAAGATCTGTTTAATTAAATAAATAAAGATCTGTTTAATTAAATAAATAAAGATCTGTTTAATTAAATAAAAAATAAAGATCTGTTTAATTAAATAAAAAATAAAGATCTGTTTAATTAAATAAAAAATAAAGATCTGTTTAATTAAATAAAAAATAAAGATCTGTTTAATTAAATAAAAATAAAAGATCTGTTTAATTAAATAAAAATAAAGATCTGTTTAATTAAATAAAAAATAAAGATCTGTTTAATTAAATAAAAATAAAGATCTGTTTAATTAAATAAAAATAAAGATCTGTTTAATTAAATAAAAAATAAAGATCTGTTTAATTAAATAAAAATAAAGATCTGTTTAATTAAATAAATAAAAATCTGTTTAATTAAAAAAATTTTTTTTTTTTTTTTTTTTTTGTTTAATTAAATAAATAAAGATCCATTACTTAAAAAAATTACATTTTGAGCAGAGATAATTTTGTGTAATATGACATGAAGGATTTTCATTTAAAAGCACTATTTGAATCTTGTTTGATCGAAAAAGGTTCTAATGACGGTTTTCCTCTTATTATTTTTAAATGTCAATTTTTATCCCGACATTGATGTCTCTTGGTAAAATTTCCAGTCTTCAGGGGGTTGTGGTTTTAAACAGTATTTCTTGTATATAAATTTTTTTTTTTTTTTTTTTTCTCCATTTGAAAAAATTTGAAACAAAATTGGAAATACTGAAGACTGAAAATATTACTAAGAAACATCAATGTTGGGATAAAAATTGATATATAAAGGTAATCTTTTCACATTATATATTTATATATTTAATTGGATTTACATTTTTTTTTTTTTTTTTTTTTTTTTATGGCAGGCACTGTAGAGGAAGTGCATGAAGGACAAGTGAAACGTAACAAAAAAAAGAAGAAAAAGTCCAAGAAAGCTTCTGAATCGACAGAAAGTACGCCCTGCTTATCTTAAATTCATATTTGATTAATTAACTATAAAAATGCCTTCAAGAACCAGAAACTGACAAATGAGATTAAAGAATGATTATATGAAGAAAAATTGAAATTTATCATTCATTACAGTTTTTAGTCTGAAATTGCTAAATCCTGTTTGAGTTAGTTGATTAAATGAAACAAATGATTATTGGATAAATTTTGAATGTGATGATCTCTTATAACCTCTTTTATGGCAGGCCGTTAAAGTTAATGTCTTAAGACATCATGAAAAGAAATCTCCAATAAAGCATTTATTTTCCTAAATTACTTAATTGTGTATTTGAAGGATTAGTTTATATTGATTTTTTTTTTTTTTTTTTTTTTTTTTTTTTTTTAAGAAAAAAAAATTACTTGTCTTTGCATCATTCCGTCTGTCTACTTTTTAAATGGTAATGTTGGTGATTTATTGACAGAAATTGGTCCTACAAAGAGGAAATTGGATGAAGATTCTGAAAATGTAGAATCCTCCAAAGTTAAGAAATCCAAAAAAATCCATAGTGTAGCCATTGCTGAAGATGATACTGAAGGTAAGTTTGCTGTCACCATCCAGTTGATTCTCTTCAAATTGTATCTTATTTTTGTATTAATTATGTAGAATACCCCCCAAATTTAGAGATTGCCTTATTCAAAACGTGTGTTGGGTTGTGATTTCAGATCTTGTCAACCCCTTTTTAAAAACTGGTATTTCTAAGCTTCAGTTTTAGGGATGATAGCAATTTCACTGTATCCTTCTTTACAAAGAAATCTTCTGTATTTTACTACACAAGATATCCTTTTTTTTTTTTTTTTTTTTTTTTTTCCTTCTTTGTGAGAGGCTCATATTTAAATTATTTTCCTCTTTACTTTGCTAGTAAAAAAGCCGGGTGTTATCATTACTTCAAGCATTCCTCATTCTGCTGACAGCATTGAAATACAAGATCTCTTCCTTGATGAAGGAATCCAACTTCTGTCTATGAGGAAGAGAAACAAGTAAGTTAAAGTGTTTTTTTTTTTTTTTGTTTTTCATATTTTTGTGCCATATCCTTTCAGGAATGTAGGCAAACATGATTTTCTCCAGATTTTTCTTCATTATCTGTGGATATTTTACATTTTCTTCATGGTTTTTTCAGATTCATTTTCTTACCAACTGCTATGACAAACTTTTTTTTCCTGGTTTGAACTAGATTGGCAACTAGGTCCCACCGTTTTTTGTTTAAATAGTTAAATGCAACTGCCACTTCAGTTTCTTTTCATCTGTCACAGTTTCTTTCCTCAAGTTTCTTTCCTCCACAGTTTCTTTCCTCACAGTTTCTTTCCTCACAGTTTCTTTCCTCACAGTTTTTTTCCTCACAGTTTCTTTTTCACAGTTTCTTTCCTTCACAGTTTCTTTCCTCCTCACAGTTTCTTTTCACAGTTTTCTTTCCTCACAGTTTCCTCAGTTTCTTTTTCCTCACAGTTTCTTTTCACAGTTTCTTTCCTCACAGAGTTTCTTTCCTGGAGTTTTCTTTCCTAGTTTTTCCTCCACAGTTTCTTTCCTCACAGTTTCTTTCCTTTCTTTCCAAGTTTCTTTCCTCAGTTTCTTTCCTCTGTTTCTTTCCTCACAGTTTCTTTCCTCACAGTTTCTTTCTCACAGTTTCTTTCCTCCCACAGTTTTTTCCTGTTTCTTTCCTAGTTTCTTTCCTCACAGTTTCTTTCCTCAGTTTCTTTCCTAGTTTCTTTCCTCACATGGTTTCTTTCCTCAGTTTCTTTCCTCCTGGTTTCTTTCCTCACAGTTTTAGTTTCTTTCCTCACAAGTGGTTTCTTTCCTCTGGTTTTCTTTCCTCACAGTTTCTTTCCTCACAGTTTCTTTCCTCCACAGTTTCTTTCCTCCTCAGTTTTCTTTCCTCACAGTTTCTTTCCTCACAGTTTCTTTCCTCCAGTTTCTTTCCTCTGGTTTCTTTTCCTCACAGTTTCTTTCCTCAGTTTCTTTCCTCACAGTTTCTTTCCTCACAGTTTCTTTCCTCACAGTTTCTTTCCTCACAGTTTCTTTCCTCACAGTTTCTTTCCTCACAGTTTCTTTCCTCACAGTTTCTTTCCTCACAGTTTCTTTCCTCAAGTTTCTTTTCAGTTTTTCCTCACAGTTTCTTTCCTCAGTTTCTTTTCTCCAGTTTCTTTCCTCACAGTTTTCTTTCCTCACAGTTTCAGTTTTCACAGTTTCTTTCCTCACAGTTTCTTTCCTCAGTTTCTTTCCTCCCAGTTTCTTTCCTCACAGTTTCTTTCCTCACAGTTTCTTTCCTCACAGTTTCTTTTTCCTCACAGTTTCTTTCCTCCTCACAGTTTCTTTCCTCAGTTTCTTTCCTCTTTCTTTCCTCAGTTTCTTTCCTCACAGTTTCTTTCCTCACAGTTTCTTTCCTTCTTTTTTTCCTCACAGTTTCTTTTCAGTTTCTTTCCTCAGTTTCTTTCCTCACAGTTTTCTTTCCTCAGTTTCTTTCCTCACAGTTTCTTTCCTCACAGTTTCTTTTTCACAGTTTCTTTCCTCACAGTTTCTTTCCTCACAGTTTCTTCCTCAGTTTCTTTCCTCACAGTTTCTTTCCTCACAGTTTCTTTCCTCAGTTTCTTTCCTCACAGTTTCTTTCCTCACAGTTTCTTTCCTCAGTTTCTTTCCTCACAGTTTCTTTCCTCAGTTTCTTTTCCTCACAGTTTCTTTCCTCAGTTTCTTTTCAGTTTCTTTCCTCACAGTTTCTTTCCTCACAGTTTCTTTCCTCACAGTTTCTTTCCTTTCTTTCCTCACAGTTTCTTTCCTCACAGTTTCTTTCCTCACAGTTTCTTTCCTCACAGTTTTCTTTTCACAGTTTCTTTCCTCACAGTTTCTTTCCTCACAGTTTCTTTCCTCTGGTTTCTTTCCTCAGTTTCTTTCCTCACAGTTTCTTTCCTCACAGTTTCTTTCCTCACAGTTTCTTTCCTCACAGTTTCTTTCCTCACAGTTTCTTTCCTCACAGTTTCTTTCCTCACAGTTTCTTTCCTCACAGTTTCTTTCCTCACAGTTTCTTTCCTCACAGTTTCTTTCCTCACAGTTTCTTTCCTCACAGTTTCTTTCCTCACAGTTTCTTTCCTCACAGTTTCTTTTTTCCTCTCACAGTTTCTTTCCTTCAGTTTCTTTTCCAGTTTCTTTCCTCAGTTTTCTTTCCTCACAGTTTCTTTCCTTTTCCTCACAGTTTCTTTCCTCACAGTTTCTTTTCACAGTTTCTTTCCTCACAGTTTCTTTCCTCTTTCCTCAGTTTCTTTCCTCACAGTTTCTTTCCTCACAGTTTCTTTCCTCACAGTTTCTTTCCTCACAGTTTCAGTTTCTTTCCTCAGTTTCTTTCCTCAGTTTCTTTCCTCACAGTTTCTTTCCTCACAGTTTCTTTCCTCACAGTTTCTTTCCTCACAGTTTCTCACAGTTTCTTTCCTCACAGTTTTCCTCACAGTTTCTTTTCTGGTTTTTTCCTCACAGTTTCTTTCCTCACAGTTTCTTTCCTCACAGTTTCTTTCCTCAGTTTCTTTCCTCACAGTTTCTTTCCTCACAGTTTCTTTCCTCCCACAGTTTCTTTCCTCCTTTCAGTTTCTTTCCCCCACAGTTTCTTTCCTCACAGTTTCTTTCCTCCCCAGTTTCTTTCCTCACAGTTTCTTTTCATAGTTTCTTTCCTCACAGTTTCTTTCCTCACAGTTTCTTTCCTCACAGTTTCTTTCCTCACAGTTTCTTTTCCAGTTTCACACAGTTTCTTTCCTCACAGTTTCTTTCCTCCACAGTTTCTTTTCCTCCACACAGTTTCTTTTCTTTTCTTTCCTCACAGTTTCTTTCCTCACAGTTTCTTTCCTCACAGTTTCTTTCCTCACAGTTTCTTTCCTCACAGTTTCTTTCCTCAGTTTCTTTCCTCACAGTTTCTTTCCTCCACAGTTTCTTTCCTCAGTTTCTTTCCTCAGTTTCTTTCCTCACAGTTTCTTTCCTCACAGTTTCTTTCTTTCCTCCTCACAGTTTCTTTCCTCCACAGTTTCTTTCCTCTGGTTTCTTTCCTCACAGGTTTCTTTCCTCACAGTTTCTTTCCTCACAGTTTCTTTCCTCCCAGTTTCTTTTCTTTCCTCACAGTTTCTTTTCAGTTTCTTTCCTCACAGTTTCTTTCCTCACAGTTTTTCCTCACAGTTTCTTTCCTCAGTTTCTTTCCTCACAGTTTCTTTCCTCAGTTTCTTTCCTCACAGTTTCTTTCCTCCACAGTTTCTTTCCTCACAGTTTCTTTCCTCAGTTTCTTTCCAGTTTCTTTTCACAGTTTCTTTCCTCACAGTTTCTTTCCTCACAGTTTCTTTCCTCTGGTTTCTTTCCTCACAGTTTCTTTCCTCACAGTTTCTTTCCTCACACAGTTTCTTTTTCTTTCCTCACAGTTTCTTTCCTCAGTTTCTTTTCTTTCTTTCCTCACAGTTTCTTTCTGATTTCTTTCAGTTTCTTTCCTCACAGTTTCTTTCCTCACAGTTTCTTTCCTCACAGAACAGTTTCTTTTCCTCCACAGTTTCTTTCCTCACAGTTTCTTTCCTTTCTTTCCTCACAGTTTCTTTCCTCACAGTTTCTTTCCCTCAGTTTCTTTCCTCACAGTTTCTTTCCTCACAGTTTCTTTCCACAGTTTCTTTCCTGAAGTTTCTTTCCTCACAGTTCTTTCCTCCAGTTTCTTTCCTCCAAGTTTCTTTCCTCACAGTTTCTTTCCTCACAGTTTCTTTCCTCACAGTTTCTTTCCTCACAGTTTCTCCTCAAGTTTCTTTCCTCCAAGTTTCTTTCCTTTTCTTTCCTCCAGTTTCTTTCCTCACATCACAGTTTCTTTCCTCAGTTTCTTTTCCTCACAGTTTCTTTTTTTCCTTTCTTCAAAAATTTGAATACGTCAGTCACCATCTGTCTTGAATCCTGTTTATCTTTTTTCCTTTCCTCAATCCTCCCTATTCTCAGTCTTTTCTCTTACTTTCATTCCCTGTAAAAAAAAAAAAAAAAAAATCCCTGTGTACTAGTGTCATTACCGCCTTGTTTGGGGGTAAAATGATTTATAAAGAGAAAAGTGATTTTTCTCTATCTCAAGTGCTTCTGTTTTATACCCAGTGGATAAGGGGTCTTCTAAGTAGCATCCATTTGATTAAAGGGGAACAGAAAAGTGAATGATAATTTTTGAGGTCAAGTGACAAGCTAGGCATTAATGATTTCTGGTTGCTGGTCTAATGATTTCTTTTTTTTTTTTTTTTTTTTTTTTTTGTTCTGCCTTTTTGGCCACATATTAAAAATTCATAGATGGGCAGAGGGGAAGTCTGCTGTTTTTTTTTTTTTTTTTTTTTTTTGAGCAAGCAAATCCCTAAATAAAATACCTGTTTTATACTATTTTCCTTTGTGAATGTGCAGTGGGATCTGTTTGTTGGGAGAACAAAATGCAATGGATTCCAAATGGGTTATTTATCCAAATTTTGATTGAATTTTTTCCTGTAGACATTCTCTCAGTTTTAGGATATGTCTCGCCATAGCTTCTTTAATATCTACACTTACATTTCCAAGATTGTTGTTGGGAGAGACTGTCTCTTCCAGTTTTGATTTATATTATAAAGACTGTCTGCCAATTGAGGCTAAAGTGCTGTTTGCATTGCTTATTTAGTTGAGGAGATATGGGATCATGCCTTTCCCAAAGATACTAGAGCAATGTTAACACAAATTATCTTTACTGGAATTTGAACTAAAGTTGTTTCCATTTTCTGCATCGATAACTGACAGTCTAGGTGACTGCTGATTCTTCACTGTTTGCTGATCCCTTCCTCACTGGCTACTGGACACTTACTTTTATGCCTCTCTCTGCTTATATGGATACAGGCTGGGATTCGTCCACCTCTAGCTGTCCCTTGTGTTCTGGAACAAGAGACCACCCATTCAGCATTTTGGGTGGTCAGCTTCTTCAAAAAACTATTACGATTCACTAAAATTAATGACAAAATTTTATGTTTGCCAATTCAAAGGTGGCTGGAGACATAAATCCTGAAAAACTCTGACACTTAAGTTGACTCAAAAATGGACTGGGGACAAATTTCTTAAACTCAGATAATTAAGTGGACTTAAAAGGAATTTATCTACTTATCTTTTAAAGATGTGAGAAATCGTATTGTTACCCCCACTCATAAATTATAAATGGTATTGTGTGGCCCAAGTTCCCTTTTCATTTCTCAGCTGTTTAAGAGATTTGACAAAGTCATCAAATTGTATGTTGTGGTCAGCAATAGGGAAAAAAAAAAGGAAGGTAGAAATTATGGGCTTGTATATTGTTGTTGTTGCATAATTTTGTATCTGTTAGTAAAGGTTTTTCCTTCTGCTGCAATCAATAAGATGAAACAGAGATTACTACTGAGTTAAATAAATACAACATTTATTACTACAGTGAATCCACAATTGAACTTTGATGAGAAATACATTTAGCTGAAAGATCCACTGGATTCTTGATTGAACAGATGAACGGTTGTAGAAATAAAGTTTATAGTATTCCCATAGGATATTGTAATGTGAAATTTATAAAGAGTGGAGATGTTTGTTGGAGTGACGAGGTGTTGTACGGCTTGGGAAATGCCTTCTTGGAATCTCACTCTGGGGTCAGCTAACGATTGGCTCTCACACATAGATTTGGATTTTAGCAAGTTGTTTCATTGGTTGGGGTTGACCAATGAGAATGTATTTAATGCAATAGTTCTTTTGTGTCTGTTACTATTGTGAATAAGGAGGTATAGGCTAGGAGTAGGTGATAAGACATGAGCAAAATAGTCACTAAGTAATTCAGTAGGATAAAAAAAACATTTTAGTTGATTCTTTCATACATGATAATTTTTATATTATACTTTGTAATACTTTATATACTTGTGTAATGTTTATTTTAAATACAAATGTACTTTTTGACTACAGTAAATGGATATATAGTTTGGTCAATGGGGTAGCCAGGGCCAGCAGTACATATGCTAATTTCATATCTCGTGTATGATGCAACCCCCTTAAAATTAGCTTAGGTCTTCAAAAGTCACATGATACATAAATATATGCTTTATTTAAATTTTCAAATAACTTAACATTACTTAATTCCGATTTACTCTTAACTTGTGATCTAAATACTGATGTAGTTACCATTTTCAGGATGAAATGACTTTATAAAGGGCAACAACAACTTTTTCCTTTCAGAAGTTTTAAATTTAATTTTAATATTTGTTTTTAGGTTCTCATCAGAATCTAAGTTGAACAGTACATATGACACCTTTTATAAATAATAAAATTGCATTTATTTCATGTTTTGTGATATTTGTGTGTGCATATTATGTATTTACACCTGTTTGCTGATCTGTTTTTTTTTTTTTTTTTTGTGTGTGTGTATTATATATATATATATATATATATATATATATATATATATATATATATATATAAAACAAACTTTTTTTTTTTTTTTTTTAGTAAAGATGAAATAGTTATCAAAGATGCTGACCAAGTTGGCACTGCTGTGTCTCTGTTAAGCAACAAATATTTTGGTGGTTCTGTACGTATCGACAAAAATTTACCCAATACAAAACATGGTGGCATTACCGATGATGAAGGGCTTCGCTGTAAGTGATGTGCATACTTGTATTTTGCATCTAACATTTGTTCAGCCTTATTTTCTGACCTGTTTTCTCTGATTACCGAGAATTAATGGGTTGTAATTTTATTTTTTTTATTTTTTTTTTTTTTTTTCTCGATTGCAATGCTTTTATTTTTGACATTCAGTAATCTAGGATTCTTATCCGTACAATTTTGTTGCTTCTTGGAAAGAATTACGCTTTTTTTGAATAATTAACCTTTTAACACTCTCCATTATTAATATTACTTCCCTTTCAACTGCATTCTTTTTCAAGTCTTCTCAATTACACTAACTTTATTGTTAATTTCACTCAAGTGTTTTCTGTTGCCTTGTCAGGATATGACAACACATTTATGAAATTCAAACAAATTAAAATTCAGGTATCAGTCACTTTCAGTGGTAGGATAAACTTTTTGTACAGCAAATGAAGTCATATACAGTGATAAAGTAAAAATAGTGTATTAGCAGCTTGGTCTCCCCTACTTACTATTATGAAACCTGGTGTTTGCTTATTAGTGTCAACTAATGCCTTCTGTATAATAGTAATGAATTCTCTTTATGTTGAAAAGTTGATATGTGACTGACAAATATATTGTCATGTTGCATTTGATATAATAATTTAGTCGGTTACCCATTTTTCACTTTTTTTTTTTTTTTTTTAAATTTGTCAAACTTTTATCAAAGGTTTTTTTTTCGCTTTCAATTTTTTAAAAATATAGTGGGCCTACATGATATTGGGAATCACTATTAAGAAAACTGCAGGCTCCCCCCCCTCCCGCACGCCCAAATGGTAAATCAAAATGTACCCCACCCCCACCGCTATTATTTTTAGTAACCTTCACTCCTTGGCAATGTTTTTTAACTATCAATGACTAGAATTGTAATAAAACTTAACCATGTGAAAGTGAATTTCTACATTTTCTTTGTCCTTGAGAATTTACAACAAAAATACTAAACATTATTAAATTGTTTATTTACAATATTATTTATTGGAGTGGTTGGCAAAACAACAGCTAATTGCCAAGCGATTGGAACTTTATAAAATGGTAAATATGGATTTACTTATAATTGTTCACATATTTTACTAATAGTATTCAATGCATGGATTAAATGGTAGATTTATAAATATGCAAGATGGGTTCTGACAAGAAATTGTCTGGCACGACAAAATGAACCAACTTTCCTAGAAGTCCTAGGAATTAATTCAATATAATCACTTCCCTTCATAAGTGTCAAATGTGATACCATGAAGCCGCAAGCAGTTGCTCTCTTAGCTGTTAACATCTGATTTTTATATCCCTGCATTTCAAATTAGTTTTATTTTTTTTTCCCCCCCACCTCTTCAATCTTTGAATTTTCTAATTACAGTTAGTCAGGTGTATATCACTCGGATTCCACTCCATGCAACAGAAGCTGATATCCTTTCTTTATTCCCGAAAGCACTTCGGTGTGACCTTCCCAAAGTGAAAGAAGCTGATGTTAATAAAGGGTAAGGACATTTTTAAAATATTTCCTTTTGATTTTGGTGTGTATATTTTATTTTTTTTTCTCTCTCTCACTCTCCTCATTCCTCTGGAGTTAAAATTTATAAAGATTTTTGTATTAAAACGTTTTTTAATATTTTAGCTTTTTTAATTATTTTTTGCATTAAAAAAAGCCATTAAAATGTTTAGAAAACATTTTGACCTATTCAATCTTGGCAACATAGCATTGAAACACTGGGTTCCTAATACAATCACCAAAGTGAAGCAACATCAAGCCTGGTCAGTACCTAGATGGGTGACTGCTTGGAAATACGATGTGCTGCAAGCTTAAGTGGTGTAATGGATAATGGCTCAGAATTGTTAATTGGAGAGCAAAGTTTCAATTCCCATCGGGTTCATTATGTTCACTTGCATGCAAATATCCTTGGGAAAGGTATGAATCCACTTCTTTTCCTCCCAGTTATGGGTTAAGTAAAACTTGTATCACTAAATCATGGTCAAAAAAAATTCTTAATATCTAAAAATATTTTGACTTTTAAATAACCTGAAAAGAGTTAAGCAGTAAAAATACAAATTGATCAAAAAAAAAAAAAAAAAATTCAGATTTTAGTGATTCCTTTTTTTTTTTTTTTTTTTTTTTTTTTTTTTTTTTTTTTTAATACTGCTCTTAAGTAAATATGATTTTTTGGATAGTTTAGTTTCATGTTTTGTTGTTTTGTTGTTTTTTCTTTTTTTTTTTTCCTCCCCTTTTGATATGATGGGGTTGAATAGAGCCCTGCTGTCAGCTATTTTCTAAGCATATGACCATAAGCAGGGACTGAACTCAGTAATGTGTTCTGTGAGTGAAGCAGTTTTTGTAACCAATGCTACACAGCAAAGTGCCCCAAAATGCACCTGATAAAGACTGGGGCGGTGTTTGATTGATCAGGCTGTCTCTTGTCTGACCAGTTCTTTTAGGTCAAGAACTTTTAATGTTTTCATTTTTTTAGCATTCGTTAAAAAAAATTTTTGATTTCATTATGGTTACATATTCAATTTACTCACTAATGTTAAGTCATTGCTATACAGATTTTTATGTGTCAAAAGACTTTGCTCGTTGATTTAATACTTTCTCTCTTTTTTTTTATATTGTAATATTGAATAATTTGTTTACAAAATCAATATAAAATTAAAAAAAAAACAAATTATGCCACTGTTATTACATGCATTATATTTTTGTAGTATAAATGAATAATATTATATTATTATATAATGGCACAGATATGGTACCGATCCCTGGCACGACTTGTTACATTGATGATGACTATTCTTAGAATAAGACATGTGCTCATGTTTAGTATAGTATCAGAAAAGAACCTGAAATAGTACCAATCTCAAAAGGTTGGGTACAGGATCCTGCCCACCTGGATTGGAAAATTTGCTTTCCGGTCCAATAATAGGTTACCTGAAAGAAGTAGGCTGTTTGTAAAAGTAAAGCAAAATACATCTTGTGTATAAGCTATATCTCTAAAAAAAAAAAAAATGTATGCTTATCCTGAAAGTTGCATACAAATACTTGGATTTCAGCATTGAGTGGTCCATGGAGGTTGTCATGCTGCCGAACAAAATCGGCCAACTGACTGTTTTGGCATTAATGAACCATAGTAGTTTTTAGTTTTGTTTTGTTTTTTTTTTTGTTTTTTTAAACACTATCAATAAATCAAACTGGCTTCTTGCACACTGAAAAATAGAAAAGTGCCAGTACGTGAAATCATATTTTGATAAGCACTGTCCTAAAGTCTCAGAAATTCAGTTTCGTAAAATCTATTAATACTTTCCTTCCTTTGTTAAAATAATCTATTGTTAATTCTTTTGTTCTCCCACCAATTCAGATTTTGTTACCTGACCTTCCCAGACAAAGCAACTGCACTTGAACATGTTTTATTGAATGGCCAAGTGAATTTGTTTGGTTATAAATTGGGCATTCATGCAAGACAGAAAGATTGTAAGCAAGGTAAGTGTTTGTGTGGTTTTTTTTTTTTTTTTTTTTTTATTAGATCTAAAAAATATTAATAACAAATGAATATTTAATGTATTGGTTGGTTGGTTTTTCATCATCAAAATATCATTTAAGTTGTATATTTTATTCCTAATGAAAAATATGTGCAGGTTTATTCAGCTTATTGCCTACTTTCTGGTGCACAATATATATTCCTTTTCTTCTGGAAACCTAGTTCATTTTAAATAATTTTAAAAGCTTTTTAATATTTACCCATAAATAGACTGTCATTATTTCAATGTCCTTTTCAAAATGGCTGCTTGAGATCTTTTGATGCTCCTAAGCCATACTGCTTCTTTTTTTTTTTTTTTTTTTTCGCTTGCATTTTCTCAAAAGGAATATGTTAGCAAACAGAAATAATGCTGTTCCTTTTGTTAATTAATCTCTTCATGTTCTTGAATTCTATGATTTTTCAGTTTCTCCTCCATACAAAGATTGTAGTTTCTTCCTCTGTTTTTCTTAAATTTTTTTCTCTTTCCTCTACTATTGATATTGACCTTTCATTTTTAATTTTGATATGTTCTGTGACAACATGGCATTATTTCTAGATTTTCATATTTTTTTAAATGATAGCAAATGGATTGTGGATCTTTCTTTTTAAATTCATTTTCAGTTGTCCCAATTATATATATATATAATGAAGATTTATGACCAAGTCGAAAAATTGTGTGGTGTGTTTTGTCCTTTTGGGACCTCAGGTTAAGTTTGTGCATGTGTGGAGACATTGAGTGGTGACCTCACTGTCCACTCTTATATTTATGCATGTTCTAGCCCAGATATTGAGCACTTTTACCCATAAATATAGCATACTTCAAAATTATTTTATCACCACCCCCCTCCCCCAATCTCTATCCTGAATACTTTTTTCTCTTCAATGTTAACTCTCCAGCTGAGTTATGAATTGTATATGTTTGTAGATAATTCATTAATATTAGGAGGGATTTTGTATTACAATAAAGTTATAAAATGACCTAATCTACAGCCATTTTTTTTTTTTTTCTCATTTCAGGAACTTATGGACACTTACTGAAGGAAATGCTTGTATATATCACTGACCTTGGTAAATAGAAAAATTTATTGCTTTCTATTTGTTGCTTTCGATTTATAGGTGTATTTATTTGGTTTTGCAGTAAAAACAGCATTTAAAAAAATTTTTTTTTTATTTGTTTCACCCCAAGCAAGACAAAGCCAGTAAGATGCAAAGGGTTACTGAGTGAGAGAATATAGTGATTTTTCCAAGCCTAGCTTGGATATGGCACAAGGCCGAAAGTAAGAGGCACCCAGTGAGGATTGAACTCGCTACTCAGTCATACATAATTGTTCTAGCGAGACAAGCTTGCTAACCATTACACTACCTCGAGGTGCCCAAAGTGAGAGAATATAAGGGTGGGGTAGGGGACATTGAGAACAATAAAAGAACAGTAATTAAGATGATGGAAGATGATGGAAGATGATGATTGACATTGCATTTTAATTTTTGAAAATCAAAGTTGACTGGTAAGCAAGAAGCTGGACAGTCCCACAAGTGAAGTGCGAGAGAAGAAACTTAGCATAGAACATAGTTATATATGGGGTGGTAGCACCTGTTAGGGTCCCAGCTATGGGAAAACTGAGGTCGAAACACTATGAAAGTGTAAAAATACATTTTTATAGTGAAAATACTAGCAATGCATTTTCATAGAAGGAACAAAAAAAATACATTTTTCTAAAGACAATTACTAATGTTCCAAGAAAATTACATTTTGGCATTAAATGTCCCATAAAGATGTGATATACTGCTAAACAAACAAATGCTTACATATGACGTGTTTGGAGGAGGGGGCGTATTCAACATTTTGATAATTTTGCGGCAATATGCGCTTGAGTTTTAGGCAGTTTTAATCAACATTTCTTTTCATGGTAAGCCATAAGGAATTGTAAATGTAGGATTATCTTACACTTAAGTAAAATAATAATTATATTTATTAAGAATTTATTACAGGAAATATCAAGTTTTACTGAAACATTGTTGACAATTATGTATTTAGTTACATAAAAAAATAATATAAATTTTGATGCTATATTCAATTTGTTGTTGGGTATTTTTCATTTTCTCCTTTGTTATTGGCAGCATTTTAGAATACTTTGGCTAGAATGCTAAGTTTCCTAAGTTGAACAAACTGGACCTATTTTGTTTACACTTTGTTACCATTGTTGTTTTTAGATCTCTTTCTTCCAGTCATTTTGATGAGCAATAGCGAAAATCTGAAACTTAGAATCTTTTTCTATTTAAAAAATAAAGCCTGTAAAAAAGGAATATTTTAAATTAATATACGATCAAAAATAAAATGATTTCACTATAATTATGAAATGTAATGCTATTCTGCAGACAAATCTATGGTTTATGTTACCTCATCTTGCACAGTTACAAATTATAAACCTAAATTAAACTCAAAATATTGTGTAATTGGCTCTTATTTTTTGTAAAATACTTGGATATGATATAATGAATAATTTGCAGTAAAAAAAAAAAGCAAGAAAAAGCAATTTTTGACTTTAAATTTATTTATTATTTTTTTTTTTTTTTTTTTTTTTTTTTTATTATACCCCGCCTCCACTGAAGGCATCATGTAACTATTTCAACTGTAAGATGAGACCTTGCTGCCAATCACTTACATTCATAAAATATAGAGAAAAATTCATAAGAACAATTACCATGAAAGTATTTATAGAAAAGGTACAGGGAAGCTATATTACAGCAGTGAGAAAGTGATTGAAGCTGAGATGCCAGGTCAAGACTAATAGCATTGCATTCTGCTTTGGATTTTATCAAGAATCTCTAAATATATAGTGTTTAGAATAAAAGTAATGTCTAGTTCAGGTAACAACTTAGTGTATTTTTTAATGTATAATATGACTTGTTTATGAAGCTAAACACAGAATAAGTTACATTCTTGAGTATAATATGACTCAATAGTACAGCTAGCCATGTATAAATTTTTTTTCTCATTTGTATATTATCAATTAAAATCTCAATGTTGTACATATTTCACTGAAATATTTAATTTTTTCTTTTATGATTTAAAACTGGTTTTCAACTAGGGTTCATGTAACATTATGGGGAACTGCACAGAAAGTAGCAAATTAGGGGGTCCACAGTAATATTTTACTAGTCCATAGAGTAATTTCACTTCAGAAAGTTTGTTACAACTGAGAATTGAAATTTCTACAGCAATCCACACCATATTAAAATACTGAAGAAACAACTCTAAAACTAACAGAAAATGAGATCAGTTGGTGTAAGTTAGCATCTCATTTATACTACCAGATGTTTTGATTGTAAAAGTTAAATAAAAAATGATATATATAAATGAAGGATTATTTATTTCACATATATATATATATATATATAATATTTGGTTGAATTGATGTGAGTTTGTGACCCTGGGTTTCACGTGAAACCCAGGGTCTACATCAATCGACAAATATGTTAACTCTATCTCTGATATTGAGCACTTTCTAATAAGTACTGCTCATATAATATATAAATAATATTAGAGACATCTTTATTAAAGGAAGAAAATTATCATGTTGATATATATCCATTTTAATTTCAAGTACTTTTGGCATTAGCACAATGTCATCTTCAGGATCTTCTTTTTGCTAAAATAGACCCCTAACCATTACCATATTTTTGGCGTGGGAGAAGGGGGTATGTGTGTATACCTAAAACAAGCAGGTTTTTGAAATAATAATAAATAAAAAAAAAAAAAAAAAATTCTGAAAACATGTACTTGTCTATAATACAGCTCTGCTTTTTTACCTTTCTCTTTCACTAATATGAAAAAAAAAAGTTCAAAATTGTTTTAGGCACCAAAAAAATGTATGGTAATAGTTTAGATTCTGTTTGCATGAACCCTAATATAATTTTGGTGTTTGTTACAAAAGCTGAAAAGATTGCTGATTTGATGTTGGTTAAGGGAATTATATTTCTAAATTGTACAAAAATAATTTATGTCCAGACTCCTGCTGATTATAAGAATGAAGATTTGAATTTTAAATGTAGTTGGAGTTTGGCTAATTACAAAGTAGTCGTCCTTATTTGCAAATGCTAATTCAGTCTATAAATGTTGCAGGAATCAATTTTACCAGATTTATGAGTATTTAAAATAAGTTGGAGAAAGAAAAAAAATTACTTTGTTGAATGAATTGAAATATTTTCTTTTCCAGATTCGGTGTTGATTGTTGAAGATATGCCCTTGGACTTGACTATGTTAGAATTGTCGACTTTGTTTCCTTCTGTTCTGCACATAAAGAAAAAAGAAAAAAACAAAACGGGATCGTAAGTTTGTTAGATTTCTCTTCTGTTGAACATATAAATTCATCTTCCAAACTGAAACCTTGTGTCTTCTCTCTGTTTGACTATATTTATCGGGATTATTAATAGAGGTACACTATCAATTTTCTGAAACTATTACTCCTGAAACTGTACTGGATGATCCAAACTTGCCAGACACACAGAAGTTGCAATATAATTCCGTAATCCACCTTTGACCCCCACTAATTATGCACCTCCTGTAAAATCCCTACAGAATAATTTACTTGTATTAAAACTAATTTGAAATGTCAAATGATTGAATAAAATATATTAGTATAAATAATACATTTAATAAATGAAATTGGTGTAGATATTTGATATAAAATTGTCAGGTACTAATAAAGAAGTGACAGAAAATAAAAATATTCCTCATACTTTATGTAGAAGCCATAACTAGGGTTAAATCTAAACCAATTAGAGTATTTGAAGAATAAACCAAATCAGTGTAAACAGTTACATGATTACCTGCCGCACACAATGCCACTCATGGCTACCTGATGAATTGGTCTGTGAATGGCATGAAATAATTAGTTCATAACTTTGTCTATAGAATTATCTGTATGAACTGATTGTGCATAATACTTGTACTGCCTCTTTTTTTTTTTTTTTTTTGCCTAAAAAGAAAAAGTGTGCTTGTCAGCTAATTGTTAAAAATTTATTTTCCCATTTTCAGACATGCTGTTGTGATTTGTAAAGATGCTGAACAAGCTGAAGGATTTTTGTCACAAAATATTGTGTTTAAGGACAAAACGTTGAGTGTGATCAGGGCAACAAGTCAACTCCTGAATATCGGTAAATATCTGTTGCCAATTCCTTCCTTCCTTATTTGATGCAAAAAAAATAAAAAATAAAAAAATTTTATTCATTGGTCATTACCACTATTTTGTCTGTCACTTTTCCATTTTGTTGAATATATTTACTGGCCAATGAGACCTCCTGTTATGTCACTTTCAATGAAATATTAAATTATGGGATGGAAGAATTGAATATCTCTGTGAATTTATCCATGTTCCCTATTTCTTTTGCATGTATTTATTTCATTTCTGTTGGAAGTGTTTTAGATGCTGTCAAATTCATAAACTGAATCTTCACAATTATATTCTCCAAAAAGGATTAAAATATATTATTTACACACTCAACTGACAGCTATGTAGAGAAAGTCAAGCAGATTCAGAACTTTACATTTATCACAAAATCCAATACCATGTGAAGACCTGCAAATGACAAGTCCATAGAGATATCCAAATTGGAAGAGGAGCTGAATGTTAAACTAGATGAACTGAAAAATGTTAACATTGTGTTCTGTGCCATGTGTAATGAAAGCCATGAATAGTATGTGTAGTCTTTTTGTGAAAATGTTTATTTGTAGTTCTGTTCATTAAAACCATTATATTTCACAGGAAATATGCAGCAGTCAAGAACTATTCTGACATTCATAAGCCAAGAGTAGCTTAAATAGCGGAAATGTGTAGCAGTAAGAATTAAAGGGTGTAATTCAAAATTTTCAAGTATTGCACTGTGTAGAATGCTACACAAAATGTGTAACATGACAGTCTGTATTCAGTTGTGTTTTAGCCTTCATCACTTTGCTTTCTTCACTGTTTTCAACTGATCCATGTGACACAAATTATTGGAACCAGCTGTAGCTTTCTTTTGACAATCTCATCTGTCAAATTATTAAAAGATAAATCACAAACTTTGTGTTTTTGAAACTGATGTCCATTTAGTGTATGTGTTCACACGCCAGTTTCAGTCTTCGAAACTTAATAATATAGTCCTGGAATTTTTTTTTTTTTTTTTTTACACGTGTGGGAGCCCTGTCTACAGTATAAAACTAAAATTTATTTTTCTTTGATACCATTTAAGTTTTGCCAAATTATAAGGGATAACTTAAAATTTTCTTCTGTTCAGACTTGTAAGCAATAATTAAATTTTTTTTTTATTTTCTTTCAGCTTCAAACCAAGCTGACTTGAGTTTTAAAAGACCAGCAGGTAAGCTTGTGTGTGAGATATAATTAAAGTCTTAATTAGTACCAATGAAAACCTCATAATAGTACAAAAGGAAAATGTCTAAGAAACCTTTTAGCCAACCCTTTGTCAGATCAGTCATTGCCAAAAAAACTTTTTTTTTTTTTTCCCTTCTAGCAAGTTGAAACGCTTTTATGGGACAAATAATAAAAAAAAATGTTCTCCCTCCCCATCATAATAGTTCTTTAAATCGTTCCTTTAAATGTAGTTGTAGTTCGCACTACATAGGGAGAACGACTCTGGGGCTGGATGTCAGAATGAAGCAACACCTTAAAATGAAAATCCGCAATCTTAAGTACACTCTTTCAGTCATTCTGACCAATTCATACGGGTCTTCCATCGCAGAACACCAAATAAATAGCCATAATTGAGCTACTAGTTTCAGTGTGGACTCATTTACCATTCTTAGCAAGTCCCACTTGAAGTACTATTTGAAAGTGGTGTTAGAAGCTATTTATATTTTATTGCTGAAGCCCTCTCTGTAAACAGGACTTCGTACTGGGCCTCCAACTAAATATATTTTAATAAGAAAAATTTTTTTATATTTTAATTGTGCATTAGTTTCTTCCATTAGTCCCATAAGTGTTTTTATTAAAAAAAAAATTTTGTCAACACTTGATATCTAGTAAAGTGTTAGCAAAAAGTTCTTAGATATTTGCAAGTTTGTGCTAAGACTTCAATAAAAATGTTGTTACATCATGTCCTTGTTCAGTATACATACATACACACACTATTTTGATGTAGACCTGAATTTTAAATAAATGTTATTCCTCCTCTTTCAGCTTACCAACAATCCACGTTAATAGTAAGTAACCTGCCTAAGAAAACAGAGGCGCAGCACCTTATAGATGCCTTCCCAAGTTCTGTTCTTGTTAAACTGGTTTCAAAAAGGTATGTCTTTTTTTCTAATTATTAGGACATTTGTTAGAGAAGCTGAAAACTGAAGCTGATTATTTACATGATTTATTTGGACTGTTGTTCTCATTTTTGTTGTTATCTCAAGGTTTCGGCCATTGTCCCCTTTGGACTTCATCAGATGTATGTCAATCTAGGTTCTGAACTGAACCCATTATTTAATCTACAGAGGTAGACTGTTTTTGTTCCACTGTCCATGTCTAAGATATCTCATAAACTTACATTTTTTTTTTTTTTTTTTTTTTTCCTTTTTCCTTGTCCTCTGACTTTCCTCCTCCTCCGTACTTTTCTTTTCCTGCCCCCCCTCCCCCTCCATATTTTTCTTTTTCCATCACCTCCTCTGCCTCCAAGCTATTTTCAAATCAGAGTAGACATATAGTAGCTTAAAACCAGTGTTGTGAAATTTATACTTGTTCACATAAATTACAAACCTAATCTTCCATAATTAATACCTCAATATTTAAGAACTCCAAGGCAACAAAAAAAGAAAAATAAACAAAAAAAACTACTAGTAATTAGATAAGTGATAATGTAGGGAGATATTTAACTGTTCTCGTTCCACTGCCCATATCTAAAATCTCATTTTATTTATTTTAGTAATGCTCAGTTATTGCTCACTGAAATATTGTGATAGCAATAAAAAAAAAAAAAAGATTCAGATAATAGTCCAAATGCAAATCCTCACCGAAAATATCATGCTGGTTATTTGAAATAGCAAGTTTAGTTTAATGAAATCCTATGGGATTGGCGAGGGATCTGTATTGGTGGCTTGATAGCACTTTGATTCAGACAAGCCGTCACTGGGTAGGGAATCAACATTGCTACCTTTCTTTTGAAGATAGTTATCCTCCCCTTCTGTTGTTTTTGATCATTTATATTTTGACAGGTGTGCTCATCAGCATCCCTTGTGTACATTTGCTAGTGGCAGAGTAGTTAAAACATTCTCATTTTGCTCATGAGACCAAAGTTCAAATTTCATCATGGTTAATTAGTTGAGGTGACTGTAATTTAGTCCTGGGGAGATGATCCCAACATGTGGTAGTATTGGGAAGAGTTCAAAAGTTCAAATCTCATCAAGGAACTCTTTGAAAGAGCAAGGATGGATGATATAATTTCTGAAAACTGGTTTTATACTAAAAATTATTATAAACTGAACAATTGCAAATACTGGTATTTAAACCAACCAAAGTAGTTGATTGAATGTGTTTATGTACAAAATGAAAAACTAGTTGAATACAATTTAAATTTTATTCAATTTAAGACTCTCAGCTTTAAATGACCCATGAGAGGTTGATAAGCCATAAAACAAATAGTGGTTGATTTGTTGAGGTGGTGACTTGTTAATATTATTCTGAAGAGATGATCCTAGCATATGGCAGCACTGGAAAAGGTCTGAACCTAAACCTTCTGAGTGAAATTAGATAAAGTTGTTTTGATATCTATTAATGCTTGTGCCAACACTATTCTAGTGGAACAATGATTTCATTTTACTGGCCTTGTTTAAACTTGTGACTACATCAAATTATTCACTCTCTCCTAGAAACTTTAACTAAAGCCTGTTCAGCATAGTTGCAGTACAAACCACATGTATGCATGTTAGGGTCTGAGTGAGTGTCTGCAACAAAGATTAGATAACCACTGTAAGAGTCTTTTGAATTTAAACTACACCTGTCTTAAAAAAATTCCTTAGTAGACGTTAATTCTGAGTGACAAAATGTAGACGTATTTATTGTATTGTTTTTCAGTTTGTAAACTAACTTCCTCTTCTCACCGTTTTTCGTACACTCCATCTTATTTTCTCAACTACCGTACTATGAACGCTGTGATTCTACGTTATTTTTTTTTTTTTTTTTGCCAGCTTAAAAAAAACAATATATAGCTTCCACACGACTCTTTTTACGTACAGACGCCAATGAGATCATATTTTTTTTTTTTTTTACTTGGAAATGAACAGCCAGTCCTCTGCTTGTTAAAAATTAGCTTTCCTCTCCTGCCATTTATCGATCTGATTTGTTAGATTGAATAAGTTTACTGTAAATGAATTCTTTAGAATTTAACAATTACTTAGGGTGGGTTGGAGAGTCAACCAACTGAAATGGAATCAGAAAAATTTAGGTTTATCTAAAGTGAATAACAACCACCTCTGTTTGAATTTGAACCATTTTTTAGTTTTAGGCCCTCCTGCAAATTTGTGTCCCGTCTTCCCTTTCTTTCATTTTCTTATTGAAATCATGTAGCATCTTTTGATAAATATTTTGTATTCTCACATGATCAAAACTGAATAGTCCATTATTTATGAGGTATTGGCAAGGTGTAAATTAGTGTGAACTAATGAAGGAAGGGACAAGTACAGTTATGATACTGGATTTAAATAAATAAAATTAAAACTTCTTTTTTCTTTCAGCTATGCTCATGTAGGTTTTCCCACTCGAGCAGAAATGCTTAAAATTTACCGAAACAGAAATAATTCAACCAAAATAATGGGCCAGCCAGTCAAATTAGAACCTTATAAAGATAATGTACAAACATTTAGTAAGTAAAGTTTATATAATTTTTATTTTTTTTATTTTTTTTTTTTTTTTTCCTTAAGATTTGATCAAACATGGAAAATCGAATTTTTACCTGAAAATGTAATTCTCTTGCAGAGTGCAAAGATGAAAAATAATAGTTTTATTTTATTTTATTTATTTTTATTTTTTTATTTTTTATTTTTTATTTTTTTCAGTTAAAAGGGAAAAAGACTTCTGCAGATTGCTTCATGTTCGAGGCTTCCCTGAAAAGACCAAAGCTGCTGATCTTCAAAAGGTCTTCAAACATTGCAAGATTGGTCTCACACAAACTAATTCTCTACCGTAAGTTTGACTACTGAATTTATTTCAATCCTGAAGGGAAAGAATAACCTTCTTGAGTTTGGAAGAATGTCTAAAAAGCTATTGATGATTGATAGAAATGCTTTCTAGGGAAGTCTGATCCTGCAAGATTTTCAAACATGTCCTGATAACTAATGATTACAATGAAACCCCTCTTTTGGTGTAACCCCAAAAAAAAAAACACCTTCAGAACTCTTACTGTGCAGTTTACTTTTGCTTGTTATCTGGTTGAGAAATCCAAGCAGTTAGAATTTCTCAAGAGTTCATTACATGTTAATAACCCTTGAGTAAAAGTACAAATTTGTTACTTCTCTCCTTCCCCCTCTTGCTATATGTAGATAGCAGGGCAGATTGGTTCCTATAAGCCTTGATAAGTGCAAAACTGAATTCATACCAAACTGGAGAGGGTTTTTGGTAGTGCTGGGAACTGGAACAAAATTGGTTGGTGATCAGACGAAATAATTTAATTTCAATCTGACATTCTTATTACTGTAATTTTCTAGCCATCCCCCCCCCCGGTGTGGATTTGTGTGTCTGAACCAGTGGTTCTCAAATGGTGCACCTGGGCACTGATGTGCCCTGGAAGATGTCTAGGTGCACCCTGGCGTTCCGAGAAATAGGCATCCAGATATATGAAATAAAGCAATTTACTTTATTATATTGCGGTACCCGCCTTGTTCATATTTATGTGAATTATGCTTTTCTGCCCTCACCACAATTAAGTGCAAAAAGAAACTCTTCAATGTATTGATGAGAAAATGAGTTTGCCTATCAAATATATGCTCAAACATGGAAGCAAGACTCATCAGGCTCATGTTTCTCATAAACACAAGAATGAATAAACTTAAGGTATATTTCTTTTTATATTTTTTATTGCATTATTTCTTTCCTGCAATATTTGACTTCATTATAACGTACTTTTCTGAAATTTGTATATAGTGTGTCTACAACTATTTGTAGGATTTCAAGTGCACCCCAACTTCAAAAAGTTTGAGAACTACTTGTCTGAACACACTTTTATAGAAAGAAAATCTGTAATGGTAGAATCCATGGGATTATCTCCCTTAGTTTGTTTAATCCTTCATAATAGTCAAAAAGGAAAATATATAAAACCCTAGCTTTCCAAAATTTTTATTTAAAAAAAAAAAAAAATGGAAATCCTCAATTGGAAAAAAGGATAACATTAGTATTATGCTTTTATCAATGGTATGAAGACAGTTTTAAATTTAACATTTGTTAGAATGCAAAAATATATTTTTAAATTTTTTTTTTTTTTTACTAAAGTAATATTTATTCAGTAACGTCTTAAGAGATGAAACTATATTCATTAAAACATTTTCTTTGTTTTGTACAGATGTGCCGTTGTTAAATGCAAAACTAAAGCACAAGCAGAATCATACTTGGCAAGAAAGAATTTGGTTGTTCATGGCAAAATCCTCAAACTGACATATGTTGATAGAATACTGAAACAAATGAAACGCGAAGCAGAACTGAACTTAATGTAAACTTGTCAATTTTTTTTATTTTTTTTTAAAATCTGAAATTTTATGTAATAAAGACTTCATGAAATGTTTTTACTCTTTTCGTTTTTTTTATTTCTCTCTCCATACTTCAACTTCTTCTCTTCACTCATGAGTCCCACCATCAGCATAAAGGAGATCTGCAACATGCTGTCAGGAGAGCCCAACTTGCCCAGTTGTGTTGACCACCCACATTCCTCTGTGACTCTTGCTCACAACTCTTCAGGATTAGGCTGGGCCTTCACAGCCATCTCTGTCACCAGAGGGGAGAAAGGGAATAAGAGGATGACTATCCTGATGTGAGTGGGTGTTGACTAATATAGTATTATAGGCTAAAACCTAATGATAAAATAAAATTGAGGTCTCAGGTTGTGTGGCATTAAGCTATATCTTATTTAGCTTATAGGTAAGTCCAACACAAGCAGTGCAAGACCTTCAGATACCATTGCCCAGGCCTGCACCCTGGAGAAGTCCCAACGGCCTCCACACCAAAGGAATGAATTTTGACCAAAAAGGGTGCTATCTTTTATCTAGTGAAATAAATTGATGCTTACTACTATCAACACTTTGTGTTCAAATTATAATAGAAAAGCATAGGAAGAGAAATAGAAATTGTGATGTATTGAGTAAATACAGACCTTACTCTCAGTCCGTTCCCATTTTAACGAATCAGAATTGCAATAAAGATTTGCCGTAGATCATATTGGTAACCAGTAGATTCAAATGTTGTCTTCAAGTTTACATGTGTATAACAATCAATATCATTTAACAGAAATTGAAAAAAATATAAAGCTAAAATGAATCCTAGTGTGTAATGTGAGGTCACTCACAAAATAGTCTTGTGTTCACAGGGGTAAAACACAGAGATAAGAGGAAAAGTGTGTTAAATTGTAAATTAAAATCATACTGTGTGTGGTTATTTACTTAGTGGTTTAAGGATGCTTGTAATAAAAAGTAGTAGTCACTTCGTATTATCAAAACAAGGTCCCAGAGCAAGGAATAGGACATCTTTATCCACCAATGGCTGGTGGTGAAGGGACTGAATTCAACATTTTTAGGTGGGAAGTCGGTTATCCGACAGGCACAGTTTCTGTTGCATGCTGGGAGAACTTTTTCTGTTTAATTTTAAACATTTTTGTTATGTTTTGTCTTCTTTTATTTATGATATATTATTTTTTTATATTTTTATTTATTAATAATAATGTCCATACAAACAATAATGAAAGAATTTCTAGTATTAAAAAAAAAACAGATTTAACATAACTAGAGATGGTAAGTGAAGCATTTGAACAGATTTTTGGTCTAGAGGGCTTGGCGACCCCTGGCTTAGCCTCACATATCTTTCTCATTCAGTTATTCATAAGTATTTAAAACATTTTGCAAATATACTCTTTAATCCTTTGCCTGTCCAGGACATTTTCTTGCATACTCTCCAAACGGTCATGCTTGTTTACAGGTTTATAACAATTGCAAGGCAACTTGGCTTATTTGGCAAATAGAATCTGCTGATATACAGTGTTTCACATAATAAATTGGAAGTTATTTACACTATGCTCTCTGCAAAATATGCTGAGTTACCTTACAATAGTTATAAATCTGAAAACGAGCAAGCGTCTTATGGTCATATATGATGCAGGACAGGCAAAAGGTCAAAGTACTGTATTTGCTAGTGTCAAGGACAGTTTATTTTCCTGTGATAAGTCTTGAAAATTTGCTTTCTTTGAGGACGAAGCTTAGGGTTTTCACCAGCAGAAGATGGTTATCTATGCTAGACAGCAAACTGAATTTCTATTTCAGAGGGGGGGAAGAGCATCCTTGATGTTGTGAAATGGTACTTTTTGAAATTACTCACAATTTTAGCAAAAATTTGGTTTCTAGTTTTCTAGAGATATTGGTTTCTCAGGACCTAAATTCTTTTTCTTTTTTCTTTTCTTTTTTTTCTTTTTTTTCTTTTTTCTCTTTTTCTCTTTTTTCTTTTTTTTTTCCTTTTTTTCTCTTTTTTTCTTTTTTTTTCTTTTTTCTTTTTTCTTTTTTTTTTTTCTTTTTTTTTTTCTTTTTTCTTTTTTTCTTTTTTTTCTCTTTTTTTTTTCTCTTTTTTTTCTCTTTACCTATCTTTTTTTTTCTCTTTTTTTTCTCTTTACCTATCTTTTTTTTTCTCTTTTTTTCTCTTTACCTATCTTTTTTTTTCTCTTTTTTTTCTTTTTTTTTTTTTTTTTTTTTTCTCTTTTTTTTTTTCTTTTTTTTTTTTTTTTTTTTTTTTTTTTTTTTTTTTTTTTCTTTTTTTTTTTTTTTTTTTTCTTTTTTTTTTTTCTTTTTTTTTCTTTTTTTTTTTTCTTTTTTTTTTTTTCTCTTTTTTTCTTTTTTCTCTTTTTTTTTTTTTTTTTTCTTTTTTTTTTTTTTTTTTTTTTTTTTTTTTTTTTTCTTTTTTTCTCTTTTTTTTTTCTTTTTTTTTTTTTTTTTTTTTTTTTTTTTTTTTTTTTTTTTCTCTCTTTTTTTTTTTTTTTTTTTTTCTCTTTTTTTTCTTTTTTTTTTTTTTTTTTCTCTTTTTTTTTTTTTTTTTTTTCTCTCTTTCTGGATGATCTTGTGTTTCAACTAAAGATATTTGGATTCCTCTATCTTGAGACCAGGAAATTTCTTGTGTTTTGATTCTATGATGTTATCGTAATTTTTCATCCACAACGTAGCCTATTGTTTCGTTTTGTTAATTTGGTTTTCATTTTTCAGGATATTAACTATTTATTTATTTATTTTTTTTTTTTTTTTATTTATTTTCTTTGTTAATTCCCCTCTCCCTTCCATTATACTTCTTTTTGTTTGTTTGCTTCTTCTATAAATATTTTCCAATGAAGATTATCATCACAGGAGTTTTTTTCCGTCTAGGTATTCTTGGAATAATCTCACAATAACATTGTTTGATTCCAGGCTTACTACCACATCAAGTTGAAACACTGGTTCCCCTATGATCACTGAAGTTAAGCAACGTTGAGCCTGATCAGTACCTAGATGGAATACCAGGTGCCATAAATTTGGGTGTGGAATTATTACTCTGATAACCGACATTCAATTCCTGTTGGGTTCGTTATATTCACTTACTTGGGAAAGGGTTAATTCACCTCTTCCTCCCCATCTATGGGTTAATCAGTAAAACTTGGATAATTACATAACCTACAAAGGGTTGATAAGACATAGTGAATCATTATTTGATTTCTGTTTTGGTCATCTTCCCGTTAATATTAACAAATTCAATATAATTTATTTTTTAATGTGTTTTTTATAACTTATATTACACTGGTCAACACCAAATTTGTTTAAATATTTTTAGCTGATTTAGGACAATTTTGATGTGCTGAATCCAAAAATCATATTGGTTTTACTCAATCAGGTCAACTTTTTGAGCTATGGCTTACATGCTGCTGTTCTTTTTTTTTTTTTTTTTGTTTTTGTTGTCATGTCCATTAAAATATCCAAATACTTTTTAGGGCCAATTAGAAATAACTAGTTATATAATTCAGGAGCCATTTTCCCAGGAGTAACTATAAAAATAACAATGTTTGATCTCAACAACAGTCTCTAAGATTACGCTATGGGCCATGTCACTCTAACTGCTAATATTCAAGATCTCATTCACTTCTACACATACACTATCAAGAAACGACTCAGCAGCTTGGTGTCTAGGATCAAGCTTGGGTGCCACACATGGTATATAAGACATGTATTGAGTATCTGCATTGGTGGACCAAGGGCAATGGTTTCGAGGGAGCCAACAAACTATAGCACTGACTTCTGTGCTATTGATGAGACTGGGATCAATAGAAACAACTGAAGCATGATCTTCAATCAGCACATTGTCATGTCGCTCATTGTGATGAAATTCCAATACCTGTCTTTGGAGAACTTCTGATATTAGTGAGAAAGATTTCTCAAATGTTCAAGAAGTAGTAGAAAAAGAAGTGGTTTTTGACAATGATGCTCTATATTCTTTTCCCCAAAAGGAACTAAATTATCTCCTTCATAATCTCAGCTTCTCAAAGTCCTCTGCCAAACTGTTGGCATCTAGAGTGGAGGGAAAAACCTCCTCTCTTCTACCACAACAGGCATTAAGAGTATCTTCGTTTGGACTTGGTGTACTATACAGATATTGTGCAGCTTTTGCGCAAATTTGGAGTGCCACAGTATGTACCTAAAGATTGGAGACTGTTCATTGACAGCAGCAAATGATCACTGAAGGAGAAATATGAAGCAGTGAAGTATGTACTGGAGAAAATTCTTTATGATCAGCATGAGTGGTTTATTCCCATTGACCTGAAGATGTTGAAATCTTTGTTGGGACAACAGTCAATGTTCACCAAGTATCCATGCTTTCTGTGCAGGTGGGATAGTAGGGACAATGCTCAGCATTACACAAAAAAAAGGATTGGTCTGTTGGGGAGGAATTGATGACTTGCAGAGCAACAAATGTTATTAATAAGCCTCTGGTGGACAGAGACAGGATACTTTTCTCACCGCTGCACATCAAGCTCAGCTTGATCAAGCAGTTCACCAAAGCTCTAGACAAGGATAGTGGCTGCTTCACTTACTTGTGCCTGGCTTTTCCAGGATTGACAATGGTTGAAAGCTGCTATCTTTGATGGTCCTCAAATCCATCAGCTCATCAGATATCCAGAGTTTGAAAGTTCAATGTACACGGTGGAGCTGGAAGCATGGAAGTCTTTTATTCTGGTTGTGAAGAAGTTTCTTGGCAACAACAAGGCCAGAAACTATGCAGATGTTGACTGCTTTCAGAAACCTTAGATGCAACATGAGCATCAAAATGCATTATTTATTCTTATGTATGGATTAGTTTCCTGAGAATTTGGGATCAATGAAGACAAACAGGGGGAGAGATTCCATCATGGCATGAAAAAGATAGAGACCAGGTGTCAGAGATGCTGGGATGCAGTCATGATGGCTGATTAATAATGGACTTTGAAGAGAGACATCCCTGC